CAGCCACATCCCCAAGCAACTGCCTGCAGAGTTACAAATGATTACTTAAAGGAGGCTTTACTGTAATTAAATACAAACCAGACCATGATTTTCACACTGTATCCAGGATAATGGCCTCTGGATAATTGTCACAGACACCCCAAGCATCTGGCTGGCCCTATGGATTTACCTCAGAGGACAGGAATTACCTTTTGTTTGGTCGTACATGAGAAACCTCTCAAAGAGCTCGTGCTGGATGGGCACTTGATCGGTGGAGCTGTAGGGAAGGATATCTTCATGGCTTACGTAGTCTAAACCTGGAAAAGAAACCCCAGAAGCAGTTGAGCTTCCAGCAAAGAGCAGCTCAAAGGCCCCAGCAGAGAAACAGATCACACAAGTGAGAAGTTAATGAAAAGATTTGGTAGCAGAAATCAATGTTGATACCATGATTGCAAGCAAGAAGGGAGGAAATGGGCCAGTAATAAACTCAGCAGTGTTCTCCTGGGAGATTTCTGCATAGGATGGATTCTGGGATGATTCCCAGAAGGACTCTGGGCACGAAATGCACACAATGAGAAAGGTAGGTAGTGGTCCTGGTAATAAATAAAGCAGAAGAGCTCGTATGCACCAGGGTGTGCGTATGGGATTTGTGTCTCCCTAGCTCAGCGTAGTCATGCCTTTGTCTGATCAGAGTCTGCCCAACTGATATCTCCCCAAAATGGCTTCACATATTTTAGTAATTCTGTTTTTTCTAGCAGGGCCCTAAAGCACAGACAGGTCTAATACAGGAATGCCCTAAGTGCTCTGCTGCTTCACTGGTAGGAGTAAACTTTCAAGACTGTTTTGAGCTCACCTCATGACAACCCACGTCTCCAGAGGTTAGAGGCACCCCTTACCCACCTGGTATGGCATAGAGGGCTCTGCTGTCATCATGATTTGCCAGGAACGTCACTGCTTCTGTCTGTGATCTCTGAGACTGAGAAAAGAGACGTTTAAGTCTTTCAGAACAGACTGCTGCATGTCAGTTTGCACTTGTGCTTCAGTTTACTATCGTTCTTTGTACAGCACATAACATTTGGTTTATGCAACCAATTCACCTCAGAACATGCCCACTTTTAAGTTCCTCTGGACTAATTCTTCTCTAAAACAAGTGGAGAGCATTTTCAGTGCTGCAACCCACATTTATAATTACTTCCATGCACAAGAAAAGGAATGCCAACAGGACGAGGAAGTGAGGTTGGAAAGGGTAAACATTATCCAGAAAACAGTCACATGACATTCCAGAATAGTTTTCTCAGGGAAATTATGACTTGAAAAACAAATCTGTCCTACGAGGTCCAAACAACCCCAAGACAAAGACCCAAGGTAGCCATCACAACCACTTAGAGCTACACCCACTGATAGAAAAGCCTTCGCATCAGAGATGATCTGAGTTTCAACAGCAAGGTGACATTCATTACTTACTATATGTGGACAATCCCGGGCATCTATTAGCACCTGGTAGTAGGTATGCGTTTTGCCCTTGACCTCTTTGGAACCATGGCCTGCCGCGTTCTCACTCCTGAAGAGAAAAGCAGAGCACTGAGCGTGAGCACAAACACACTAACCCCTGCTTCAGCTGGGACTCGGAACGGGAGGGAGCTCACTTCAAGACAGCAGCAAGCCTTTGTTAACAGGACCAAGCACGTTCATAGCCAACAACTTCTTAAAATGCATTTCACAGGCTGTGATTGCTCAATTCCACCCAAATTAAACTCACATCAGCCACTCGTACAACGCTAGGTGAGCCGAGATGACAAACAGCAGTGTTTTTCCCAAACACATCTCCCTTTTCAGACGACTCTGAAGTTCTCTCTGCTCAGCCCAGCCTCCTGGCTGGGGCAGGTATTCCTACTGCCCTCTTACTCCCAATCTGCTCGCTCCTCACCCCCTTCTGAGTCCAAACACTCACTGGCACGCCTCCAAAACAAGTCAGGGGAAAAAAAATTGAAGAGAGCAGAGAAGTGAATGGTGTCTTAATCAACAGAAGGAAGAAATTGGCCTAGGGGGGTTGAAAGCGGACAGTGGGGGGAAGGCTGCTGACAAATCCAACTCACTGGCAACCTATAAAGGAAGCAGCCTGTAATTTTAACACAGGAGCAAGTTACACTAAGCAAAGCAAAATTAAGTTTTATTTTTAATAAAGCAAGACAGGATATTTTTTTCCCTTTGTCTCACACGCACACACTCTTCCTTCATACTTCCATCCAGTCTCTAACAGAAAACCAATGCAATGTCTCTTATTTGAGCACCCCTCTTCCAGTTTATCTTCACACAAAACAGAACCACACCGCTGTCCCTCAAGAAGCTGGAAACTTGCTAGGAAATGTAAATGTAGCAGCACAATAGCATATAAACATGAAAGAAGCCTTACTTTTCTGTGACAGGAGAAGCAACATCTCGATCATAGAGCCTGGCTTGCCAGGGAAACAGAACTATTCCTCGATAGCCAAACACGCTGTGAAGAAAGAGCTGAAAGGAACAAATAATTGTGTTTGAATACACAGCTGGCTTCAGTCAGCTTAGATACAACAGGAAGCACGAGCCCAAAAGCCCCTTTTCTGAAAATATCTAAGGAAAAAGCTACCTCAGTTAACGAGAAACACTTAGAACAAGACTGAATGTGCTAGATGGGAACGCAGGTATAACCAGCACAGCAAAAACAGAGAGGGAACAAGAACAGTTTGGGACGAGAGAACAAATCCACGTCCCCTCTGTCCCATAAAACTGAACGGCTCTACCAGTAACAAAGCACTGGAACATCCCACGTGCAGAAGGGCGAGAAGGACAGAAGGGACTGCCCAGGAACACAAACAGATCTGCGAGTCGTACACGCACCAATGCCAAGTTCAGCTGCTGTGTCTCGGATTCAGCAATTGGTTCTTTTGCTGCTAAGGGGAGAAAATGCTTAAATAAAACCCGCAGAGCAAAGCTCTCTGCACGAGCAGCTCTGTCAGGTTGCAGATTCTTATCAGCTCGCCGTTGTCAGATGACTGACAAACTGCAGACCCAGCAGGGACAAGGCACGCCGATGTGTGAAACCTCTGGCCTTCCACCAGCAGGTCCCGCAGCCACCCGAGGGCTGTGGAAAGAGCCCAGGGGGTCAGCGCCGCGCCCCAGGAGCACTCACCTGGCCCGTCTCGTATTTGCCATGCTGCTTTGGTGCCTCAAACACCCCCACTGTCTCCAGCACTTTGCCCTCGGGACGGTTCCTAGGAGCAGAGAGGCGGCTTGTCCCCAGCACTGCGCACACAGAGCTGAGCCCCAGCCCTGAGCCTCCCACAGGGCATCGTGCACCCCTGCCGGAGCCCTGCTCCCCAGCCCTCCACCCCCAGCACCCCCCCAATCCTCCTTTCCTACCTCACCAGACACCCCAGATCCCACCTTTCTCACTTGCCCCCCCCAGACCCTCCTAGATTCCCCTTTTCCCACCTCGTCCCCCCCCAGACGCTGCCAGTTCCCACCCCACCTTTCCCACCTCAGCCCCCCAGGCCTCCCTCTCCCACCTTGCCCCCACCCAAACCCCCCAAAATCCCTCCTTTCCCACCTCACCCCCACGCAAACACCTCCTTTCCCACCTTTCCCAGCGTCCCAAACCCCCCTCAGCACCCCCAAAACCCCCTCACAGCCCCCTCAGCACCTTCTAAACCCCCCTCAGCACCCCCCAAATGCCCTCACAGCCCCCTCAGCACCCTCTCATCCCTCTCAGCGCCCCCCAACCCCCCTCACAGCCCCCTCAACATCCCCTAATCCCCCTCAGCACCTTCTAAACCCATCTCAGCACCCCCCAAATGCCCCCTCATCCCTCTCAGTGCTCCCCAACCCCCACCACCACCCCCTAAACCCCCTCACAGCCTCCTCAACGCCCCCCTAAACCCCCTCAGCACCCTGAAAACCCTCCTCACAGCCCCCTCAACACCCCCTAAACCCCCCATCACCCCAAAAACCCTCCTCACAGCCTCCTCAGCACCCCGTCAACCCATCACAGACCCCTGAGCACCCCTTAAACCCCTCTTCAGCACCCCCAAAACCCCCTCACAGCCCCCTCAGCACCCCCAACACCCCCTAAACCCCTCAGCACCCCTTTCAGCACCCCTTAACCCCCCCCAGCAATCCCTAAGCCCCTCACAGACCCCTCAGCACCCCCTAAACCCCCTTCAGCACCCTGAAAACCCCCTCAGCACACCCCAAACCTCCTCACAGCCCCCTCAACGCTCCCTCATCCCCCTCAGCACTCTCAAAACCCCCTCAGCACCCCGAAAACCCCCTCAGCGCCCCCTACACCCCTCACAGCCCCCTCAGCCCCCCCAAACCCCCTCAGCACCCCCCAAAACCCCCTCACAGGCCCCTCAGCACCTCCTAACCCCCCTCACAGCCCCCTCAAAATCCCCTAAACCCCCCAGCACCCCAAAAATCCTCCTCAGCACCCCCAAAACCCCCTCACAGTCCCCTCAACATTCCCTCACCCCCCTCAGCATGCCCACAACCCCCTCAGCACCCCTTAAATCCCCCTCAGCACCCCCTAAACACCCTCAGCACCCACCAAACCCCCCTCACAGCCCCCTCAGCACCCCCTAAACCCCCTCACACCCCCCTCACCCTTCTCCCCCCCCCACACCTCACCCCCCCCCCTCACCCTTCACCCCCCCCCCACCTCCCCCCTCAGCGCCTCACCGCGACGACAGATGCCTCCGCGGCGGCAGCGGCGGCAACAGCGGCAAGACGACAGCCGCAGCGGCGGCGGCAGCGGCTCCCCCCGTTCCTAAAGGCGTCACCCCGCGGCCCGGGAGCCGTTCCCTCAGCGGCTCCCACAGCGGCAGCCCCCGGGCCCGGCACCGGCCCAGCGCGGCCGCCACGTACCGCCGAGCCGCGCCGCCCGACATCCCGCCGCCGGCCCACAATGCACCGCGCGCCCCCTCCCCTCTTCCCGTTCCTCCTCTGCCCGCCGAGGCGACGCTCTAGCCCGCCCGTCTCTATGGTTCCGCCCTTCCTTGTTGCCTAGGTGAAGGGAGGAGGGCGCCGCAAGATGGCGGCCGCCGTCAGGGCCGGGCCGCGCCTGAGGGGAGCGGTGGAAGGAGAGGAGCTGGCCGGGCTCCCCGCCGAGCTGCGGGAGGAGCTGCGGGACGCTGTGGGCTCTGAGGGTGGCCTGGTGCCGTTCAGCTTGCTGAGGAGGCTGCACAGCGGGCTAAGGGAGGCAGGTGGGCTGTGCCGGGCCTGCTCGGCCGGGCCGCGCCGCCGTTGGTGTCCGTTAAAAGCCGTTAAAATCCGTTAAAATCCGTTAATCTCGATGTTTCCCCCCTCGCAGACTCGCCGCTGTTTCTTTACCAGCTCCTGGAAGGCAGCGAGATCGCCGTGCCCGAGGTGCCGGTGCAGCCGCGGGTAGGTGAGGGCCGGGGCCGGGGTCAGGCCGGGAGCCCCCCGGCCCCACAGCCCTGACGGGAGCTGTGCTCTGCCCCCAGAACCCCGAGCTGGTGGCGCGGCTGGAGAGGATCAAGGCCAAGCTGGCCAACGAGGAGTACCGGCGGATGACCCGCAACGTCACCGGCCAGGTGAGGGGCCCGCACGCAGACGGTTCAGCCAGGAGAGGGAAAATCCAAATGTCCTAAAGGCAAAAAACCACCCTGCCCTGTCACAGCAGTGTTAGCCACCTTCATCTTCAGGCTGGTACTGGTGTGAAGAACAGGAGTTGCTTAGTTTTCTAAGCCTATGATGCTGCCATCTGTGTCTGTGCATTGCTGACTGCCCCATCGTGGTTCATCCTTAAAAGCATGGCCAAAAGCAAGCCGACAGCCAAATAAATTTTTCTCATAGAATGAATGCAGTGCAGAGGGGAGGGGGGCAGGGACCTGAGGAGCGTGTGCTGCGAATACTTGGGGACACTAGATGTGGTGCTAAGGCCAAAGAGGCAGGGCGGGGTTATGGGGAGAGTGGAATAGAAGATGCTGACTTCTTGGAGCAGCTCACCGTACTGAAAGATGTCAGGTTTTGATGTGAGAGACCGAGCATCTTAGGTCAATTTTTTACTGTGAGCATTTGTGCTGCCATTCTCCCAACTGTTCTATATTTACTGGAGTTTTAAAGTGAGGTCATTCGTGCCCGAGTAAAAACTGAACATGGATGACAAGGTGAGACCCTCTAGGGTCTCTCAGACAAACCCGCAGACTCCATGTAGGAGAACACAAACTCCAACAAATGCTTTGAGTTAAAATTACCCCTTCTTATTGTCACCAAATCAGACCAGAAGCAATAAATCCAGAAATCTCTGTGAAGGACCCCACGGGAGCTTCCCAAACTTGCAGATGGGCTTTGGGGATAGGACAGGGTTTTGGTATTGCTTTTATTCTGCAGTTAATATGAAAACACAACAGAACACGAGTTGTTTTAATCCCTTCCTTTAGGACATGAACCGAGGTGGGACGTTGGCTGACTTTGGGAGGCAAGGTGAGTTCTCGAGCCTTCCTGCAGCCCAGCGGAGGCCGTCGCAGGCAGATTCACTCAGCAGTTTTGCAGTGTGCCCCCAGCCTTACCTAAAAGCAATCCTCTTTTCCCTCCTCCCCAGTTCGCTCCATGAAAGCCGTGGTCATCACCGTCTTCAACTACATCGTCACCGTGGTGGCCGCCTTCGCCTGCACCTACCTGGGCAGCCAGTACGTCTTCGCAGAGACCGCGGCGGTGAGTGAGCCCCTCAGGCAGGAGCAGCAGGCGCTCCCCAGCACCCAGCAGCAGCTTCAGTGCTCACACGTGGTCACTGCTCTCGTTTTGTGTCCTCAGCGCGTCCTCTCGGCGGTAATTGTGGCCTCGGTGGTCGGCCTGGCGGAGCTCTACGTCATGGTGCGGACCCTCGAAGGGGACCTGGGGAAGCTGTAACCACGTGCAACCCCCCGAGCTGCGGTGCTCGCGCTGTGCTGGAGGCTTTGGGCCGCCCCGGGAGGCGTTGGTTTGGGGCAGGATTCTCTCTGCGTTGGCAGCTGGTGGACCTGAACGTTCCTGAGATGAATGGGGGATTGAAAAATCCCACAGCCGCAGAGCAAAGAGGGGCCGGCTGTGAACTTTTACCACCCCAGCACGGAGAGGAGCGTGAGCTGGTGCTGGTCCAGCTCTGTGAAGCTGCTGTGCTTTCGTTCTGGAAATAAATAACCTCGTGTTTGCGACCGTGCGGCGCTGAGTCGGCACCTCAGCGCTGCCACAAAGCTCCCCTCTACCCCCGCGCCCCGCATCGTGCTCCCTCCTGCAGGACGCGGTGCCCTCGCTCTGCCTGTCCTCCCTGCTCCCACCTGGTCCCCTACACACTTTAAGGAGTGCGTTACTCACTCGTTACTCACTCGTTACTCACTTTTGACCTGCCCCTGCCTACATTTGGTGACGGGCGCTTTCCCCCTCCACGTAGATCGGGTCCTGTGGGGTCAGCACCCAGCTTGGCCTTGTCCCCAAACACTCAGCAAACAGGCAGCCCCTCCGTGGAGCTCGTACCGAGCCCTCACACGGGAAAAGAATCACATTGGGGGCTGCCACGTCGCCTCTCCTGCACCTGGGGGTGCCAAAAATTGCCCAGATCCCCCTCTGAGGGTGAAAGACCCTGCTCGTGGAACCCACCAGGTCCTCGTGGCGAGGAGGGGGCACAGCCGGACCCCGGGGGGATGCAAACACCTGGCAGGCGGGCAGAACGCCGGGGTGGGACACGGCGATTAGTGCTCGATGGCAGCTAAGCCCCTGTGGCAGCACGCTGTAATATCCGATACGGGGAAATCCACCGGCACCTGTGAGCATGCCCGCGGATTAGGGGCGGCCACGCCGCAATCATCCGCGGATCCTGCCTCAGATTAAGGTATTTCTCCCAAAGATTAGGCAGGATTAAAGGGAGCCGGCCCCGCCACGGCCTCCCTGGCATTTAGGGTATTGGATGGCACCGCAGGGAGCGCGGGGCCCGGCGGTAATTCCGCACCCTCATCAAATAGGGGCCGAAAACCCCGCTGTGGCTACGGCTCGCCCAGGTTGGTGATGGCCGCGCTGTAGATGAGGTCGGAGATGGAGCCCAGCGAGGTAGGGAGGCCCCGAGCGGGGCTGTGGGGTGCTGGCAATGCAGGGACAGGGACAGGGACGACGGGGACGGTGCCGTCGGGGGGCACCGCGGGCAGGTCCTGCTCCCCGGGCGGTGACGGTGGCGGCTCCGGTTTGGCGCTGCGAATCCTGCGGGCACGGCGATTCTGGAACCAGACCTGGGGGGAGGCAAAGAGACACCGGGAGGGACGGAGGGAGCTTGGGGACGGCCTGTAGGGTGAGGAGTGGGGTCCCGAGGATGGGGCTGGGGGGATCCCGGCCCCGCTCACCTGGATCTTGGCCTCGGGCAGCTGCGTGAGCTCAGCCAGGCGCTCCCGGGTGGCGATGTCCGGGTAGGGCACGGCGGCGAAGGCTCGCTCCAGCTCCCACAGCTGCCCCCGGCTGAATGTGGTTCGCCGCCTCTTCCGTGGCCCCCCCGGGGGTCCCGGGGACCGGTTTTCCCCCCCCACCGCCGCCGCCGCCGCCGCCGCCGCTGCTTTTCCCCCTGCGGGTCCTCCCGCCCCGTCGGGGAAGCGGAGCAGCGCCTGGGGGGCGCGGGAGGTGCCCGGGGCCGCGCTCATCCTGCCCGGCTCCCCCCAGCCCCGCCGCCAACCCCGCTTTTTATCCCCTCCCGGGAGAAGGGGGGGGGAGACCGGGACCGCCCCGAGCGGGCGGTGCTCACCGGGCCCCCCCCCAGCTCTCCCCTCCCCGGTTCTCTCCCGGGGATGCTTCCCCGCTCGGTGCCCCCCGACGGCAGCACCCTACAGGCCTCGGGGATGGTGCCCCCAGCACCTCCAGCCCCCAGGAACCCCCCCAGCTCCCAGCACTGCCTCCCCCTCGACGGCTCACCCCAAAAAAAGGGGGCACCCAGAGGAACCCAAACCAAGGAGGGGGCTCGGGGGATCCAGCACCAGCCCGCTGGGGAGCCCAGCTGACACCGCAGCCCCCCCGAACCCCCTCCCCGGGATAAAACGACCCCGTGCAGCACCCGCCGCCTGCCCCCAGCCTCATTCCAACCCCCCCCCGTGTCACCACAGCTCTCCTGCGGGGCTGGCACGGGTGAATGTTTAACCGAGCCGTGGTACCAGTTTGCGTGGTGGCTCCCAGTGGGGCCAAGCGGGTGCCGCCGCCGCCGCCCCCAGTGAGGGGTGCGGGGGGCGAATGGAGCCCCGACAGGGCGCACGGCCCAGAACGCTGCCACGGGGCCAGCAGCGAGCGTAAGTCCACGGGGGACAGAGGGGACCGAGGCCACCCCGTGCCACAGCGACCGGGGCCTGAGCAGCCAACGTGGCCACCTGGGTGGCTGGAGGGGGGAGCTGGGACCCCAAAAATGCTGGGGTGGGGGGACTGGGGTGGCCCCATGTGGGGGTGTGGGGGAAGCTGCACGCTGTCCTCTGCCAGGTGCTGGGGTGCAGGGGGAAAAAGGAGGAAAGCAGGAGCATGGCTGGGGGTCCCTCTCCTTGGGGTGCCCCGCTGTGGGGTCACCCCCCACCCCAAACCCTCTTTTTTTCCCCCAAGGAGCCCCGGAGCGGAGCAGGAAGGACCCGTGGAGGGCAGAGAAACGCGCCTGAGGGTGGTGCTGAGGTAAGGGGGACGTGGCAGGCTTGGGGACACAGCAGGGACCAGACAAAATATCAGCCTCACCTCATCCAGGGGCGCAGCGGGGGTCCCCACACGGTGCCACCTCTGTGTCCCCCCACACTCCCACATTAGGGTCCGGCCGCTGACCTGCACGGAGACGCGCCGAGGGGACCGGCAGGTGGTGCACAGCCTGGGCGACGGCACCGTCCACGTAAGTTCGACCTCCCCACGGGGTCCAGGAGCTGTGGACCTCCCCCCAAAAAAAAAAACACCCACCGCCACCGTCCCCAGGTGAGCGCAGCCAGGCACGACGCCACCTTCGGGTTCAGCGCCGTCTTCGACGCGGGCGCCTCGCAGGAGGCCGTGTTCGAGGGCAGCGGCATGAGGCAGCTGGTGGAGCTGGCGATCGATGGGTGAGCCCCCCCCGGAGCCCCCCAGCCCCATGTCCCCACCACCTTGGAGCCGTGCAGGCCTCAGCGGGAGGTTTGCATTGCCGGGCTGGGGCCGGGAGGTGGCATCTCCACACCGCAGCCTTGGGGCTATGCCTGAGGCTTGCCCTCTTTCTCCAGCTTCTCCTGCACCGTCTTCGCCTTCGGACAGACGGGCTCGGGGAAGACCTACACCCTGATGGGGCCTCTGGGGCAGGTACAGCAGCGGCCTCGAGAGCAGGACGGGCTCCTCACGGCCTGGGGTGGGGGGTCAGGATGCGCCGTGACCCCCTCGGTCTCCACAGAGCGAGGCCCCGGCGGTGCTGGGGCTGATGCAGAGATCCTTCGCCTGCCTCCTGGAGCACAGCCGCAGCCACGGCCCCGGCCTGGCGCTCAGTGCCTCCTACCTGGAGATCTACAACGAGCAGGTAAGCGCTCACCTGGCCCCCCGCCACCCCCTTGCACCATCCCCACTGCCCCCCCTCTGCCATCCATCCGTCTGTCCCCTCCCCAGGTCAGGGACCTGCTGAGCCCGGGGCCGCCGTGCGCCCTGCCCCTGCGCTGGAGCAAAACCCGCGGCTTCTACGCTGAGAACCAGCTGAGCGTGGATTTTGAGAGCCTGGAGACCATCATCGACCTCCTCCTGCAAGGTGCCGGGGCTGGGACCATGCCGGGGGGGCACGTTTGGGAGGTGCTGGACCTGGTGGTGGTGGTGCCAGGCACGGGGTGGTGTGTCCCCCCTGCAGCTCTCCATCCCGGCAGGTTCCCGGAGGCGCCGGACCTCTGCGCACGCCCTCAACAAGCACTCGAGCCGCAGCCACGCTCTCCTGACCATCCGCATCCGCAGCCGAGCCGTGAGCACAAATCCTGCTCCGGGCACAAAGGGGAGGGCTGGGGGGTTGGATTTGGCTCTCCGGCTGCGTCCTCCTCTCCCCGAGGACATTTTGGTGGGGCTGAGAACCACAGTGGGTAACAGGGAAGGGGCAGGAGGGATGTAGGAGCAGGGTGTGACCCCGCAGGGTGTGTTTTTCCCCCCTCCAGCCCAGCAGCAGCCCCGGCAAGCAGGGCACGCTGTGCTTCGTGGACCTGGCCGGCAGCGAGCGGGTGAAGGACACCGGCTCCACCGGGGAGCTGTGCGTGGAGGCCAACAACATCAACCGCAGCCTGCTGGCGCTGGGTAAGAGCTGGGGACCCCCTGGAGCAGCTGCCAAACCCTGTTACAGCTCCAATGTTTTATTTTGTGGCTCGCCCTCCCGCAGGACACTGCATCTCCCTGCTGGCCAAGCCCCAGGGGAAGCGGATGCACATCCCCTACAGGGACAGCAAGCTCACCCGGCTGCTGGCCCGCTCGCTGGGCGGCTGGGGCGTCACGCTGATGGTACGTGCGTGGAAGAGGCTGGGCAGGGGGGTTTTGGGGTGCACGGAGCCGCGGGGTCTTTGCCCCATGGAGGGGAAGGCTCACCTGCTGCTCCTCCTTGTCGGCAGGTCGCCTGCATCTCCCCATCCTCGCGCTGCCTCTCGGAGACGCTGAGCACCCTGCACTACGCCAGCCGGGCCCGCAGGGTCACCACCAGACCCGTGGCCAACAGGGTAGGGCTGCGGGCAGGGGCAGGATGCTCGGCCCCACTGCTGGGACCCTCCCCGAGCCACCCCCTGGTGCTCCCAGGTCCCCCGGGAGAAGTTGCTGCAAAGCTTGGAGGAAGAGATCCGGGCCCTACAGCTGGAGAACCTCTCCCTGCGCCAGCAGCTCTGCCTGCCCACGGTGCCCACAAGGAGCGGGGAGGTGCTAGGGACCCCCCCGAGGCCGGGGGCACAGCCGGGATGGGCAGGCAGGTCTGGCCCCGGGGGGCCACGCTGCTCCCCACCCGAAGGGCAGCTCCTGACGGAGGGAGCTCCAGCCTGGCCCAGCCTCTACGGCCTCCTGCGGGACTTTGTGGTGGAGAACGAGCAGCTCAGGTATGGGGGGGTCCTGCTGGAACGTGCAGGACCCACAAAAAGGGGCTCCAGGAGCCGGAGAGCCCCCCGGTTGTGCAGCACTCGGTGCCTGCCTCTGAGGGATGTGGATGTTTGCCCCAGGGAGGCTCTGGAGGCAGGGCTGGGAGGCTCTCTGCAGGCTGCCCGTGCCCTGCCCTGCTCCCTCCCTGCTCCCCAGGCAGCCCCACAAGTCCCCAGACCCTGGTGGTGACATCCCATCCTACAGAGCCCCCCGCAGCTCCTGCAGCAGCCAGGTCCCTCTCCGGAGCACCCACATCCCACTCGGCCACCCCACACAGCTCCAGCAGCCCCACGCGATGCCCACCTCCGGGCACCAGCTGCCGGTGAGCGCGGGGACCCCGGGCACCCCGTGGGGGCTGCAGGGAGCCTGCACCAACACCCGCTGCCCTCTCCCTCCTGCAGAAACTGCCTCCTGCCTCCGGTTGCCCCCAGTGCTGCCCCGGGCTGCCCGATGCCCTCGTGCCCCAGGTATGTTTCGTGTCCCTTTGGATGGGGCAGGCAGGGCACAGCAGCACCCTCACAGCTCCGCTCGGCCCCCAGGTGCTGCCGGGGCTCCCCGTGCCACAGCCGGTCCCCGTTGGCATCCCGCTGCCTGGCCAGGAGGACGTGGCTCTGCCCAGCTCCCGGCCACACCAGGGAAAGAGGTGAGAGATGGGGATGGGGCCATCCCTGGGGCATCAGGAAAGCTCCAGGGACATGGGGAGGCAGTAAATTGGGGTTTTGCTCACGGCAGGAGCTGGGGAAGGAGCAGGAGCTTGTCTCGGCGGCACACGGTGCCACGGGACAGCCGGGAGCCCAGCCCCGAGAGAAGGGTCGAGCCTTCGGCCCCGCCATGGCCAGGGCCAGGTCTGCTGGAGCCCGGAGGTGAGCGGGGTGGGACGGGCAGAGCCTCGGGGTCTGGCACCTGCCCTATAGGGCTGCGGGACTGATCCTGGGGGGCTGGAGACCTGACCCTGGTGGCTCCTGGCTGCCAGCCGCCGGAGCCGTCCCTCTGCCGCAGTGGGAAGAGGCCCTGGGGTGGCTGGCGGAGCAGATCTGAGCAGCCACAGCCTCACCGGAGCCGGGACCAGCAGAGGGGACCCCGCACCCTGCAACCAGCCCCAGCCTGGCTGCAACCAGGGGCACAACCACAGCCCCCCGGGGCACAACAGACCACGAGGACCGCATGGCCCACGGGTGGCCCATCTCACCCCGACAGACAGCCAGACAGACAGACCGACCCTCCAGCCTGCACGGCGCTCGTGGTTTATTGCTGTCTAGCTCCGGGCCGTGGTGCTGGGCCCTCTTCAGGTGCTCTCCTCCCCGGGCTGCAGGCAGTCCAGCCAGTACTGGGCGATGGAGCGCGGGTAGCGGGGCTGCACCAGGTCCACGCGCTTGGTGCGCAGGTTGACGCGGTAGTAGTTATCTGGGAGAGGGGGAAAGGGGGCTGTCAGCACGGCTTTGGGGCTGCTACCAGCCCTCGCCGCCAGCCCCACAGCATCGGGGATGGCGCAGAGCCAGAGGAGCCCCCCCCCAGCCCCACGGGGGTCCCTGCAGCTCCCCAGCCTCACCCCCGACGAAGAAGTAGACGCTCTGCAGGGTCTCGCACTTGGATCCCGACAGCCAGTCGCTCTCAGCGTCCATGGAGTCGGAGTCGTTATGCAGCCAGCTCCAGATCCCCAAATGCAGCGAGCGGTGGCTCTTGTACCTCTTGCGCTGGCGGCGGGACTTCCTCCGGCGGGGCTGCTGCGATGCCACATAGATCCTGCCGGCCATGGCAGCGTCCAGCTGCCCGGGGACCCCCCGCCAGTCTCTGCTGATGTACCGCGGGCCGCTCGCCCCGACTGGCAGGGAGGCAGAGGGTGAGTTAGGAGGGGGGCAGAGACATGCAGGAGCCAACATCAGCCCCACAGACAGCCCCCAGCGCCTGTCCCGTGGCATAAAGGAGGTCCAAAGGGACCCCAAGGCTGGGAACAGCCCCGCTGGTGCTGAGCGCCCTCTCCTCTTCCCCTTCTCTCATTTCTCCTGCCTGGGGTTGGGGTTTCCTACAGCATCCTGAGCCCCGGTGGGAATAAACAGCCCCAACAGTGACGCTGCGGTGTGAGTGACTGGTGAGGGGCTCGGCAGGGGTGGGATGCGGGCTGAGCACAGGGGGTCAGAGCAGAGGGGGGGGTCCCACACACAGCCTGGCACCGCGGCGCGTCCCGGCCCTGCACGTACTCATCCTGCTGCCGAAGAGGACATGGAAGATGTCCTCCCAGCTGTCGCGGTTCATGAAGGCGTAGTGATTGAACACGGTGGAGGGCGAGGATTTCTCGCACTCAGCCTGCGTGGGCTGGTGGGCGAAGTCATAGGACCAGTAGTACCTGCCTGCAGGTAGGGCACGGGGCTGTCAGCGCCCTGCTGGGGCACTCACGGCCCCCACGGGCAGCAGGGGGGGAGGTTTTGTGCCTTACCCTTGAAGAAATAGACCCGCTCATTGCCATGGAAGCTGTGCGCCGGGAGGGCGAAGGCGGCGTCGATGTTGTTGGGGATGCCTTCGAAGCCATCCGAGATGTTGCGCGGGTACCCGGGATCCAGGACCCCATCGTCGAAGCGCCAGTACTGGTTGCCCTGGGGGCGTGATGGGATCGGGGGGGTGAGCAAAGCGGTGTGGAGTCCCTGGGCACGGGTGCTCTGGGGACAGCCACGGCGATTTGGGGACCCACCTTGAAGAGGTAGGTCTTGCCCTGGCAGTTGATGCGCGTGAAGGCTGCGTCAATGGGGCCCTCGATGCCCCAGACGTCGCTGATGAGCTTGGGGTAGCCGGGGCGCACGCTGCTCTTGTCCAGCTCGTAGAAATACTTCCCTGCAGAGAGAGGGGAGGAGGGAGGTGAGAGGTGGGATGCCAGCTTGGCAGGACGTGCCGGGAAAAGGGCCTTGGGGTACCTCGGAAGGCGTAAAGGGATCCGTTCTTCAGGTCGGTGAAGGCGTTGAAAGGTTTCCTGCTGCACAGCTCCTCGGTTTCATCCTCATCCGTGACCCCGTCGGAGGTGGTGGGCAGCTCCAGCACGGGCCTCTCCGTCTCCAGCAGCGGCTCCTCGGTGCCCCACTCGTCCTCCGGCACCGTGGGCAGGGGCGTGGGGGGCTCCGTGGGAGCTCCTGTGGGCGCTGCCGGCCTGGTAGGTGGCTCCGTGCCGGTGTCGATGGGGAGGTCGTAGTCCAGGTAGTCGTCCTCTGGCAAGGCGAAGACATCTCCCCGGGTCACTGCAGGAGGGGAGAGGTCAGTCCCAGGGAGCCCCAAGTGTCCCCACACCGGGTTTGGGTGCTCCCAGCCCCGTGGCACCAAGCTGGGTGCCGAAAAAACCCGGCACAGCAGCACCCCAGTGCCAAATCCCAGCCCTGCCATCCCCCTGCGGACACGGGGGTGTGCAGAGAGGAGCCGGTGCTGGTGGCCTGGGACGCTGTTGGGAACCCTGAGACCCCCAAGGCCAGTGGCAGGAGAAGGGGGGGGGGGTGGGGCCGGTACCTTTGGTTTTGCAGACGGTGGAGTAGTCGCTGCAGCAGCTCTGGTAGTACACGCAGAGGGTGTCACACTGGCACTTCTGCAGCGAGTTGAAGCCCTCATCGCAGCGACCCTCGCAGGACTCTGCAGGGGACACCGGGCACGGAAGGAGCACCGCGGGGTGAAGGCAGCCGTGGCCACATCCAGATTGAGGGCACCCAACACGGGCACCCACCCCTGGGGGCTACGGGGGCACTGCTCCCCACTCCCCCCCACGCAGCCACGGTGCCCGCTTCGTGCAGGACCACGCTGGGGGGGATTCACCCAGGACACCCCCACCGTCACCCCGTCCCCACGCCCCCTTGAAGGGGCTCACCTTCAGCAGCACGGGCTGGGGCGAGCAGGGCCAGTGCCAGGACAGGCAGCAGCAGCCTCATGGTGGGCAGCCGGGAGCGCAGCCCTCCTGCGACTGAGCGGGCTGGAGCGTGGCCGTCGCCGGGGCCCCAGCATCCGCTGTTTGCTCAGCCTGCCCCGGCCGGGGAAAGCAAACAGGGCAAGGTCAACGAGGAGGGAGATGGGGCAGAGGCGCTCGCTGCCCCTGCCCGCTCCCCCCCGCAGCACGAGCTGAGCTCGAGCAGCCCTCGGAGGGCAAAGGGAAAAGCTCCGGGTTACGCTCTCCCAGAACAGCACCATTTTTTCAGGGGGATTTGGGGGATTTTCTCGATGGCAGACAGGCTGGAAGGAGAAGTGGGGAGCCCCAAGGGAGGCAGGGGCGGGATGGGGCCGCTGGCCCTCGGAGCAGGGGCTGGGGGTGAGTGGCCGGGTGGCAGAGGGGAAGCCCCGTGCGCTTTCGCTGCGGTAGGCAAACAAAAGGCTGTGTATTTTGCTCCCATCATTCCCTTTCCGACGAATCTTTTCAGTTACTAATTAATGTCGACTCAGCTCTTTCGACAGCTCCTGATAACTCCAGGATGGTTATTTAATCGGGGCAAGGAGCAAAAGCGCACGAGGCGACGGCAACGCCACCTCCAGCAGGTCCCCTGCCGGGGCAGGAGCTCCGCTGGGCTCTGCCCAGCCCGGGGTGGCAGCGTCACCATGATAGGCTTCAAAAAGTGACAGGTTCTGGGGAGAGAAGACACCAAGCAGGCTGGCGGTGCCGCTGCCCTCTTCTCCACGGGCTTTGCCTCTGCTGAGGGCAGTTCCCGGCACTGGCTGCTCCCACCTTTGCTGGGAAGAGTCCAGCTTGGTGTTGAGAAACGCGCTTCCACCCGCAGGGAGAGCCTTGGAGAGGCACCAGCAGTGGGCTAATGGGGCAGGGCTTCTCCTGCAGCCCCCCTCTGACCCCTCCTGCCCCTCGGTCCTGGCTGTGTCACCCCTGGTGCGAGCCCTGCGAGGCTTTTGGGGTGGCTGGGATGGGCTTGGAGCTGCTCCTGCTGATCAGCTTGTCCCAAGCTCACCATCTGCCCTCCGGCTCCTCCTGGCCCTCACCAACCTCCCGGCAGATCTCTGCTGCTTGAAATCCCTCCCCAAAAGCAAAAGGAAGCGAAACAAAGCTCTCGGGGCTTGTTGGGGAGAGCCGAAGGGAAGGGTTTGATTTTTGCCCCCTCTGAGGCAGCCAATCCTCCTGCCGTGCCGCACCGCCACCCCTATCGCTGCCCCGGGACTGATAAGAGCTTATCAGGAAATCTCTTACTGTCCTGTGCCGAGGGGCTGCCGCGGTCCTGCGCTGCTCGGGTCGCCTTGTTTGCTGTCTGCTGCCGTGAGCTGAGGTCCCCTTCCTGTGTCTGTCCCCGTGTATCGGATTCAGAGAGGATTAAAAGAGGCTCCGTGGCATTAAAACCTCAACTTGAATTTAAGTCCCAGTCTGAGCCGGCAGCAGCCTGCTTTTGGAGCCAAGGATTTAAGCTGCTCCTCCCAGCACTGGCGAGCAGCATCCCGAGCATTTCTGCCCTGAGCACGTCCGGCCTGGAAAAAGGAAAATAAAAGGGGCCCAGGCTGCCTCTGCTCTTTCCTTTTATCATGCAAATCCTGAGCCCACCCAGAAGAGCTGCTCTGAATTTCCGCCATGGCCAGGGGAGCTGCTCGGCCCACCACAATGATGCAAAATAAACCCAAGCCACAGAGCCAAGAGGGCCACGGCCACGCCGTGACCACGGCCACCGCCGTGCCATCGCCCTGCGCCCCCTTCTCCAGCTCTGGGTGCGGAGAATCCCGGGGAGATTGGCCACAAGGGCAACGGGGGGGTGCCTGGGGGTGATGGGGGGACAGCAGGGGCTGCGAGAGGAGGGCTGGGGGTCCGGCAGAGCATCTGCAGCGAGGAGGGGGCTGCTGCGGAGGAGCCCCTCCTTGGAGAGGCGGCGCCTGGCGCGGGTGACATCAGCTGCTGGGGAGCTGGGATGCTGAGCCTGGCCCTGGCAAGGCGGCTGTGCCATCGCTTCCAGCTCCATCCTCCCCCTCCAGCCCCACCCCACACAGCTCAGGGGTGTCCCCTCCAAAAAGAAAACACAACAGGAGCCATTGTCTGTTCCTGGCGGGCCCGGTGGGCGCTGAGGATGCTGCGCTAGGGGCTGCGGATGGTGCTCACCCTGCTCGTCTCCGTCTACAAACTCTGCCGCCTCTTCGCCATGTCGGGTATGGAGAGGCTGGAGGTGCCCGAGTGCGTGAGCCAGGCGGGGTGCTGGGCTGCTGGCAGCTCCGGGGAGCGCCGTGAGGTTTCCCCCGGGGTGAACACGGACGTACGGGCAGCCCTGGAGCGCATCCTGCCCGCCCTGCAGCGCTCCATCGCCTGCGCCAAGCAGGCGGCCGGCCCCGGCGAGCTGAGGCAGGCCATCAGCGAGGTTTTCCAGCTGGTGGAGGAGGCCTGGGGGATGCCCACCCTGGGGAGGGACGTGGCCAAAGTGCTGTGCGACGTGATCCGCCTGGAGGGAGGCCTGGACCTGCTGCTCAACCTGCTCTACACGGCGGAGCTGGAGACCAAGTGCCAGGCGGGGAAGCTGCTGGAGCAGATCCTGGTGGCAGAAAACAGGTGAGTCTGCAAAAAGCCTTCCCTGCCTCACACAGCAGGGATTTCTTCCAGTGATGTCCCCCACATTTCCCTGCTCTGGGTACTCCCAGCTCACCAAACCCCTCTGCAGCCCCCCACTTGCACGCAGGGTCCCTGGGCAATGCTCTGACCTGGCTGGAGGAGCAGGAGCAGCCCCAGCACGGGGGATGCTGGCGAGGAGCGGGGTGTCCTCAAGAGCCACATCCAGCCTAGGGCCACCCAGGTGTCCCCAAAAAGCCCTCTGTGGGCGAGCTGGGGCTGGTTGGCTGGCCCAGAGCATCTGATTTGGAGGGTGAGAGGCACAACAACGCCTTAGCCTTAACCACAGAGGATGGAGCTGGTGCCCAGAGACTTCTTGCTGCTGACGGGGTGGAGCAGAGGCCATAAGGAGGGGGCTGTTTGGTGGCCCTGGGAGCCCCCAGCCCGTGGCTCCTAGATCAGAGGCTGGAGATGCACTCGCTGCGCCCCGGGACAGGTGAGGGCACGCAGCTGGCTCTGCCAGAGCATCGGCACGGATGGGAGTGTGCGCACACGTGTGTGCACGAGGCATGCACAAGCATGCACACGGGGCACCCGGCACGCCTGAGCGCACAGCCACCACCTGAACAGCCCCAGGGTTTCTCTCCATCCCCGTGGGCGCTGCTCATCCCTTTGCCCCAAACCCCAGATCAGCAGACAGCTCCTGAGGCTCCATTTTTGGGGCCGGGCAGCCAGTTTTGGCACAGTGCGCCCGAGCCCGGCCTGCCCCAAACCAGCACATTGGGAGCACGCTGAGGAAGCCTGGCCAGAGCTCACGGTCCTGCCCCGGCCTCAGGCACAAGGCACGGTGCTGTCGGGTCATGGACTCACAGCCTGGCCCCCAGTGAGTGCCGTGGCAGGAAAAAGGAGCAGCGGCTAAATCGGGCAAGTCCATTAGGGTGGAATTAATCCCAGGAAACCGCTGGCACGGGCTGAGCGCAGCACTTATCTTCCTGGCAGGAGACAGCACTGCTGGAGAGGCCATCTCTGCCCCGGGAGCAGTTTGTAGCCCCCAGCCCCTCACTGCTCACCTGGGGGGCTGTGGCTGCCACCCACCCCCTGGCTGAGCTGGGAGCCAGCCACAGGATGCAGGATTTTTTTTTTTTCCAGAGCTCTCCACAGCGTTTGCTGCCAAATCTGCCCCAAGGTCAGCCCCAGCCACGCGGGCTTCCCAGAAATGCCCGTCCTGCCTGCCAGCGCGGGGAGGCTGCGGTGCCCTCGGCCCCAGCATCGCTGGGGGGCAAACACGTCGCTGCCATCAAGGGTTTGGGCTCTGTGGGAACAGCAAGGGGGAACTGTGCTTGCAAATGGAGCAGAGCCACTAAAATCATTTGTGTCTAAGGCCAGGAGAGCGTTGCTCCTCACACAGGGCAGCCAAGTGCTCGATGTTTCCCCCTTCTCCAGCCCACACCTTTTGGGCACGGCCACATCCAGGCACCTTGTTCTGGACCCCGTGCAGGACAGCACAGGGCTGTGCGTGGCCATGTCCCAGCAGGTGACAGAGCAGCCAGAGGAGAGCGCTGGCTGGGGGCAAAAAGGTTTTCAGCCCAGAGCACGAAGCAGCTCACAGGAGAGCTGGCTGAACAGATCTACCTGGCCTTAGCCCACCCTGCACTGCTGGTTCCTACACGTCTCACCCGGAGCTGGAGAGATAGGCACTGTGATCACCTCCTCCAATCTCACATCTCTCTGTGCCACAGCCTGGTGGCACATCTGGCAGCTGAGACCCACAGGGAGACACCTGGCTGTCGTGGGGCACTCACCACCAAGGCCTTGGGGGGGTCCGTGTGGTCCCACCTGCCCCTCACCCACCTGCACCTCTCCTTCCCGCAGGGATCGGATCGCTCGGATCGGTCTGGGGGTGATCCTGAATTTAGCCAAGGAGCGAGACATCCCCCCGCTGGCGCAGAGCGTCTCCGGCATCCTGGAGCACATGTTCAAGCACACGGAGGAGACCTGCTCCCAGCTCATCTCCGACGGGGGCCTGGATGCCATCCTCTACTGGTGCCGCTGGACGGACCCCATCGTGCTGCGCCACTGCGCCATGGCCTTGGCCAACTGCGCCATGCACGGCGGGCAGGCCAACCAGCGCCTGATGATCGAGAAGAGGACGGCCGAGTGGCTTTTCCCGCTGGTGTTCTCCCGGGACGACGAGCTGATCCGCCTGCACGCCTGCCTGGCCATCACGGTGCTGGCCACCAACAAGGAGATCGAGAAGGAGGTGGAGCGCTCGGGGACGCTGGCGCTCGTGGAGCCCTTCATCGCCTCGCTGGACCCGGAGCGCTTCGCCTGCCGAATGCTGGGCAGCAGCGACAGCAGCCAGGGCAGGACGGCCGAGGACCTGCAGCGCCTGGTCCCTTTGCTGGACAGCTCGAGGCTGGAGGCGCAGTGCATCGCCGCCTTCTACCTGTGCGCCGAGGCTGCCATCAAAACCAGGCAGAAGCAAACCAAGGTAAAAGGGGAGGTCGGCCCTGGGGAACGAGGTGCCAAAAGGGAAAGGCGCTGCCGCTGCATCCCCATGTGGTTTGTGCCCCCCCGAGCTCACCCAGCACGGGGTTGGGGAAGCAAAGCGATGCTCCTTCCCTCTGTGTCCCCAGATTTTCAGCGAGATCGGGGCCACGCAGAGCCTGAAGCGGGTGGTGTGCTACTCCACCAGCAGCACCACCTCCTCCCTGGCCAAAAAGGTGCTGCGCATGATAGGGGAGGAGGTTCCTCGGCGCATCCTGCCCACGGTGCCCAACTGGAAGCCCTGCGAGGTGCAGACGTGGCTGCAGCAGATCGGATTCAACAAATACTGCCAGAGCTTCCTGGTAGGGCTGCGTGATGGGGCGGGGGCACCAGCGGGGGCCCTTCTGCCCCATCCCGCAGCAGAGGTGCAAAAATCTCACCCCAGAGGTTTCCCATGCACACATCAGCACTGGGTGACCCTGCCGTCCTCTCCCATCTCCCTCTGCATGCACCGAGCAGGGGCTGCTGTCCCAGAGAGAAAATATAGCCCAAATATTCGGGGACAGGGCTCTTGTGGGTGCCAGGCCTCCAGCAGTCCCACGGGCCTGAGCGTGGTGCCAGCCAGACCCCACAGGTCTGGGTCTCCAGCCTGGATCTCTCTCGGCAGGACCACCAGGTGGACGGGGACATTCTCCTGAGGCTGACGGAGGAGGAGCTGCAGGAGGACCTGGGGATGGGCTCCAGTATCACCCGCAAGAGGTAAGAGCACTACCAGGGCACGCTGGCAGAGCCAGGGCGAAGGTGTGCGCCTTCCTTTTCTTGCAAGGACAAGAAGAGGGATTCCCCAAATGGGAAACCCCGGCTGCCAGGGCTTTTCCAGAGCAGGATGTGACCCAGAGGATGCAACGTGCAGCTGTGGGGTGGGGAAGAGGCCAGCAATGGCATAGAAACTGAGGCAGGATGCTGCAGGTTACCCAGAAGGGGGTGAACTTACAGATCTCCTCATCCTTTAGCTGAGCTCCTCGTGCCTCTGCGCCCTGAGGACCAGCACAACCAGAGCCGTGCAGACTTTTGTCCCCATTTTGTTCATTCTGCACCACGGCACGTTGGCACACCCCGTCTGACACAGCTGAGGACATGCTCCCAAACATCTCTGTGTCTTTCCTGGTCCAGCAGGAGAAGGGGGCCTCCCCCGTGCTTCTACTTTCCCCTCTGCCAGGTTTTTCCGGGAGCTGACGGAGCTGAAAACCTTCGCCAACTACTCCACCTGCGACCGCAGCAACCTGGCCGACTGGTTGGGAGGCATTGACCCCCGGTTTCGGCAGTACACCTACAACCTGCTGACCTGCGGCATCAACCGCAGCTTCCTGCACCGCGTGACGGAGCAGCAGCTGCAGGACGACTGCCACATCGCCACCGGCTTCCACCGTGTCCGCATCCTCTCCGCCGCCAGGGGTGCGGGTGCCGCCGCCGGCTGCGCGGAGATGAGCGCTGGGGGTTGTTTGGGATGAGTGCTCAGGCGTTTTTGTAATTTTTGCTCGCTGTTCCTTGTGCTTTAGAAATGCTTCACTCCCCTATAACGCTGCAAACTGCGTCGGATGGCACCGATGTGTTTATCAGCTACCGGAGGAGCACCGGCTCGCAGCTGGCCAGGTGGGTGCTGCGGGCAGCGTCACGGCGCTGGGACAAAAACACAAAGGGGTGGGGGGAGGCTGTTAAAATCTGCCGTGCAGGTGGGGACTAAAAGCACCAAAACTACACGGTGATCCTGCAAATTCCCAGTCCCATCGCTGCCGTCCTGTGCCACTGCCTCACCCTCTTCTTGCACTGTGCCGGTGGAGCCGCAGGAGGTGGCAGCAGGGTGTTGGTGGCCTGCTCCTTATCTTCCCCACGAGCCCAGCCGCCTGTAAGCAGGCTGTGCTGGCAGCTGGCACCTCAAGGACCGTGCCCTCTGCTGCTCCTCGGTCTCACGACGTCTTGGCCGATGTGGTGGGACAGCACACGAAGCCCGGGCGCCGTCTCCTCTCGCCCCCCAGCCTGCTGAAGGTCCACCTGCAGCTGCACGGCTTCAGTGTCTTCATCGACGTGGAGAAGCTGGAGGCAGGGAAGTTCGAGGACAAGCTGATCCAGAGCGTCCTGAGCGCCCGTAACTTCGTGCTGGTCCTCTCGCCCAACGCGCTGGATAAGTGCATGGCAGACCCCGAGTGCAAGGACTGGGTGCACAAGGTGGGAGATGCCAACGGGTGGGGGGCCCGGTGGCGATGGGGTGGCGCAGGCCCTAACCCCGAGCACTTGGTGTTCCTGCAGGAGATTGTGACGGCCCTGAACTCTGGCAAGAACATTGTACCCGTTACAGACCATTTTGAGTGGCCTGACCCAGAAACCCTCCCCAAGGACATGAGGGCCGTCCTGAAATTTAATGGCATCAAGTAAGTGGGAGGAACCGGGCCCTGCGGGGCTGATTCCTCCACACGAGGAGAGGACGGCTTGCATAAGCAGTAGCAAAGAGCACAAGGAAACTGGGGAGATGAGGGAGGTAGAAGAGGCCAAAGGGGAGCTGAGTCACTTCAGATACTCCGGGGCACGAGGGAGCAAAGGTCCCCACCACGGTTCTGCTCTGGATCGCGGAGCTGCCACCCCACTGCCAAATGGAGGACACCCGTCCTTGGCCCCCCAGTCCCCCAGGCAGGAGCTTCCTGAGCTGCCCGCAGCCCTCCTGCTCTGTGTTCCCCAAGGGGAAGGGGTTTTGCTGTGGCATTCAGTGTTTCTGCATTCCCCGAGGGGAAAAAGGGTGCTCCCGGGGAGCTGGGGTGCAGGCAGGGGGACGGCCGCCTGGCTGACATGCACTGAGCTGGCTCGTGGCATCTCGCACAAAAAAAAGTTAACTTTGGGTTTCCTCTCAAACGCAGATGGTCCCACGAGTACCAGGAGGCCACGATCGACAAAATCATCCGCTTTCTCCAGGGCCGGTCCTCCCGGGATTCCTCGGCGGGGTCGGAGAACGGCCTGGACTGTTTGCCTGCTCCCGGGCAGACCTAGGAGCAGCACGGCTGCCTCAGCCCCCCCGCAGACTTTCCAGGTGACCCCTATTTCCGTGGGGCCGAGTTTCTCCCTCTAGATTTTCCCCCATCCTAGTACCTTCCCTACCCTCTCTCCCTCAGGACCTGACACCTCTTGGCTTGAGACCAGGCCGTGGCTCAGGCAGCCATGGGGCGTTAGCCCCCCTCCACCCTCCAAATGCAAGCCCTTGGGGCTGAAAGGCCAGCACTCCCTCGTAGGGTGCCCGGTGAGCCTCCAGGGCAGCCCCTGGGGTGGATGAGCCGTTTTTCAGGCCATCCCTTGGGGCAGCAGGACCTGCAGGCTGAGCCTCCTGCAGTGCAGGGGGTGCAGGGGGAACCAGGACAGTGCAGCCCCCCTGCAGAAGGCTGCAGCTCCCCCCAGAGATGAAGCCAAAGAGGAGGCAGCTTCCAAGGAGCTAAAGTTGTGGGGTTTTCCAGGGGTTCGCTGCAGGAGGACACCATGGCCTCTGCTGGGTGCTGCAGGAACATCGGTGTGGGTGGGAAAGAGCAAATAAAAGCTAAGCCCCAACAAAATCCCTGTGTTTGGGAAAGATAACACGCACAGGCCTTCCAAACTGCTCGGCAGAAGCTTTCTCTTCCCCAGCAATATCCCTTTATCACCCAAGCTTGCTCCCTCCTCGAGGCCTTTCTCCTCCTAATGCTGCAAAACCACTTTGTGCTCTTAGCTCTGGTGGCAGAGGTTTGGCTTTAGGTCACAGGAAGTTTCCAAAGGGTCTTTACCAAAAAAAAAGTGCTTTAAAACCACCACCTTTCCCTCCGTCCGGTGTCTCAGCTTTACCACTTTTATCAGGTGTATTTATTTATCTGTAAGGCACAGGAGGCTGGATTGCGACTCTGCAAAACGTATATCCAGGCAGATACGGACGATGCTAACTGCTGCACTGTACTTGTGGAGATGTTTTCCACTGGCTGCATTTTATTCTGTTGTTGGTGCTCCACAGCAGATCTCCTCTACGGTCTGTTCCTTCGAGCAGGGGCTGGCACATCCCTTTGTGGCCTAGCACTTACCCCGACAGCCCTGGCTAAGCTCCTCCGGCTCAGGGACGTCCCCACGCTGCTGGATGCAATACCAAATAGCACTTGTTTCCTTTTACCAGCCTCTTCCCAACGCCCACCAGATCTTTTTTGTAGCTACTCACCTTGAAATATCAGGTAAGAGCCGAGGTTGACGCAAAGGGCAGGTGGAGGCTGCTAGGTGTGAGCACAGGCTGAGAGCACCCCGACACGCCTCTGAATTCTGCCCTCCTGGCCTTGTCCTGCTTCTCACACCTGCTCGGAGGGCGATTAGGCTTTCAGCAACATGGTATTTTGCAATTAGGACCAGACACTGCAACTCCTACCTGCGTTCTTCTGTTTTGGTGCAGAGCACGGTTACTAACGCAAAAGACTTCCTCACTCAGGACACACTCGAGCAAGCCATGCCCAGGGAGCAGCAGCCTGCCCAGCACTCTGGGGATCAGGCTGATGCAGTAGGAAATTCCTCAGCCTGTCCCTGCTCAGGCTAACCCACCCTTTCCAGGAGGCAATGAGGAGGCAGAGCTATGTTCCAGCCCACAAGCACTCACCTTGGCTCTCCGTGAAGCCTTGCTACCTGCCTTAGCTGGCATGACACATAACTGCACATAAACACAACTCCTTTTGGCTTGGATTTATGAGCATATCGTAAGAAGAAAAGTAAGTTAAATTCTGGTGCTTAATCAGAGCTTTATGGAGAGCTCTTATCAGCTCACAGATAATGGCGTCTTTGCTCTCCAGTGAAAGGTTAATAGCCAGGTCTGCCCAGCCCTCATCAGAAATAGCATCACCTAATCTTCAGATTAAATACGAGGAAGGCAGCAGATGAGCCCAAAGGTGAATCTGCCAGAGGATAAAAGCAACTTGTGAGCTGCTTCAGGGAAAAATCCTGAGTAATTTATTGAAGGTCAAGGCCTCTGTGGCCATTAAAGGAGTCCCACACAAACAGTCCAAAGGATTTTTCTCTCTAAAATAACACACAGTAAGATTCTCGTGTCTTGTTTCCCAGGAGCTCTCTAGCATTTAACCTCCTCACCCTCCACTCAATAGACAAGATTTAGTTGTCCTCTACAGCTTTGGTGTCTTACCTGCACTGAGATCACAGCCCATGCCCCAGCTGCCCAGACTGTAACTCATCCTGTTTCCCTGTTAGGCGATTATCTTCACCCTGATGAACTCACTGCTCTTGACAAAACACCCCATGCCCGTCCACTTCCAGTCAAAGCAGACATCCCCAAGGAGATCATAGAACATCCGAGTTGGACGGGACCCAGTAAGATCATCGAGTCCAACTCCTAAAATAAGTGCTTCTGTTCTCACCCTTCCTTACCCCTTTGCCATGCCATGTCAGAAAGTATTTAAAGTTGTTCTATTGGACATTATTAATAAATTTGGTTTATACTCTAAATCCCAACCTCTTTTATGTTTGTGTCACATGCTTCTTTCACCGCAGCCTTCTCACACTTGCTCTCTTGTTGTCACACTCTCATCCGCTGGCAGGGCAGGGCTTGCTGGCAGCAGAATTTCCCAGGCACCATTCTCTGTGGGGTTCACACTTCAGGTTCATCTTGCATGGGCTGATGTAGCTCACTGCGACCCCAGGGACTCTCTCTACCTGCTGCCCACACTCACAATGCATGGATCATGTACTTGCTTGTAGTTCTTGGAGGAGAGCCTAAAAAAACTTCGATTTTTCTGATAGAGCTTAATAGTTCCTATTGAATTTTGCCTTTGTAAGCACCCTGACACAAACAGCAAAGTAGAGTGAGTACACAAGTTTCACTTCACTGCGCAACATTTAGCGGCTGTTAATACTGGAGGATGAGGAATCTGTCTGTGGAGAAGAAACTTGCCTCACAACCAATTCAGCTACAAACATCTAACGCAACACTCACAGCATGCCCTGATCCCGGGGGAGGATAATTCTGGGCTTAGCCCATGAATCAGACAAGTAGCTCCTGCCTACGTCCACCAGCACAGCTGCACAGACCAAGAGGCATAACAAAACAGGTCTCAGAGTCCTCCTACTCCTCAGCCTCCTGCTTCCTTACTCCCGAGTTCTGCTCTTACCAGAAACTCCTAACAAACAAGGAACAACGTTGTATATAAACATTTCACGTTTACTGCATATTTAAGGGCAGGTTATATGCCATGCACTACTGAAAGCTTTACGCTGGTGTTCAGGAAAAGCAAGTTATGTTTGCTCGCAAGTCCCAAAACTGCATTCTTCCTGACCCAGGTCCCTCACATGCTCATTCTTCACACAGCAGACAACTTCCTGCTGTGGCTTCTTTGCTACAAATTCCTCAGTAAAAGGAGAAGTATGAAAATAATGGAGAGAAGCATGGAGCAAAACAAGGGCAAATCTCATTAACAGCTAGCTGCACAAGAAAAGCTATCCTTTTAGGAGCCACAAAAAAGAATGGAGGTTATATTCATTCTGGAAGTAACGTGTCTGCTATGCAATTTCACAGTAAGAACATTATTGCATACATCTGAACACTGTGTGCAATGCAGTGTACACAGAACTGCTGGTTTATGGCAGTTTGAAGAAAATAGGATCAAAACAATACAGCTAATTCTTTGAAAAGAACAATTACCAATACTGTGAACACGGGGTTTGCTTGCTGGCATCAACATATCCTGAGAAGTGCAGCAGGAGTGACTTACTGACACATAATTGTGTCCAAAAAAAACAAAACAAAACAAATTCATTTCCAAATACACTAGCCCTCTCCCCTTAACAGCTCACCCCAACAGCACTGACCTGCAATATTCAGGAGACTCATATTCACAACACACCAGTTGGAGCACAGACCCTCCTCCCCAGCACAGCACTGCTGGGCTACCTCTGCTTCAGTCCCGCACAGCAGGCTTTGGTCTGCTACTCACTGAAATACTCAGAGGAGAAAGTTTGGCAATTAAACCAGAATTCAGTCCTCTCTCACCACTAAAAGCATAGCACATTAGCTATCCCCCCACCTCACGAAACAAACCAAACCACTAACTGGCCTTGTAAATGGCCAACAGCTTTTACTCTTGATCGGGTTTTGTGTCCTTTGGGTTTTCTCTGGCAGATGAGTCAACACAACAGCAAAGAGGAGTTCACATCTGTAAATCAAGTTCCTCCTAGCAGTCAGAGCCATGATTTCCAACTATTTGGCGTTTAAAAATCAGTAAGGACAACCAAGGCGTCATTGCCACACTAATCTGTTCTTCAAGGCAAGAACAAAGAGCAGTCTTTAGATGGACGCTGCCAAGCTGGCCAATTCCTTGTTGCTAAGTTGCTGCTCAGCCATCTGCAGGGGACAGGGAAGTATCTGTGAAATGACTGTACTCAGGGTTTGAGTCCCAGATTTCTATCCACCTAAGAAAGAAAGAAAGAAAGAACAGTTAGAGCCTCTGAAAGCACACTGGGACTTTGCTGAATGAAGTCAGTTTTAAAGTTTCAAGGGAACAGAACAAAATGATCCTGCCAGGAGCTGCTGCACTTCTACCACAGCTCCCAGCACATTCTCTCTCCCAGGACTAAACCAGGGGATTCATTTTCTATCATGACACAACTTTTTCTTCTATTCGTAGAGTAACGACAGGAAGAGAGACTCCTAAGAGAGCTCCATCTCTTCCATAGGGGACTTATAAATTCAACTCGAGACTTTGGATTCCATTCTGAGGGTGGAGTAATACTTTTAAGCTGTTTGGGCATAGGCAGCCACAGCACTCAGGCTTCACTAGTTCATCGCTAGGATTCAGCTGCCAGAAGAAATGGGCCCACATCTCTGCTTACTGGGGCGCTAAACAGCCTCCTGTAAGCATAACTGAAAATACACCTTTTAAAAATGTGAGCCCCTATCCTATGTCTAAACTGCATTTTTTGTATTACGCTTCACAGGTCCTACAGCAAAGTTTAGAAATTTGAAGTTAATTACCCAACAATAGCTGCTGGAATAAGAAGAATTATAGCCCCAAAGAGAAAGGGGAATCCCCTCATGAAGTGCAAGCTCAAAGGGTAGAGGGAGTTGAACACTCCTGTGGCCACAAGTGAACACAGCCCTTCCACACAGGCAACAGACGCGAAGAGAGCACCTGCAAAAGATAAACGAGGTTAACGGTGAGAGGGCCCTGCCTGAAGATCACCAACTGAAAGATCTGTACCATGTCAACGCTTTCAGTGCAAACTGTGAACCTTTCTAAGGGTTTGCACTTCTGGTGTTTGTGTTATCAAGCACGATGAGGCAAGAGCTAGGAGCAGAGACTGGGCATACTGTACTGGCCCAGCAGGCCAAACATGTTGCACTCAGCTTCTCTGTAGGAAATACCAACTCCCTGACCTCCAGAACTGGTATCACAGGAGCTGACCAGGGACATTATCTATCAGCTGGATTATAAAACTTTTAGAAATGGCTATCTAAATCTGTTTACTGCCAGGCACATCTTATCACTTGTTAAACATTAAGTGCAGAAGAAGACTGTATTTTATAGGCTTAGCATCATAAAGCTGGTATCAGCTGTGTGCCACCTTCATTCTTGTATAAGAAATGGGAATTCAGCAAAGTCACCTTCAGGTCTGTCCCATCTCACATCCCTCCTCCCCTCTCTGCCTGAAGAAGTATTCCTATGCAGTCTGTAACAGCAAGTGTAAGCTCTTCAAATGAATTACTGGGAAAAAAGCAAGTACGCTCCTCCTAGAGGTTATCCACGATCTTTCACCATGGTCAATGATACAACCCTCTAACAACACTGCATTTCTTCCCACCGTTACTGATCTACAGAGAAGAGTCATGGCCAGGGAAATCGCTAGTTTCCACGTGTTATACAATCCATTTTAACTCTTGCTTCTCATAGTCGTCTTAGAAACAAACAGATGAATGACCAGGGCCTCAGGGTGAATGCACAGGCACAGGAGTCCAAAGGAGCTAGGGAAGTCCTAACCTCCCAAAGCAGCTTGGTTTCAATGTTCCATGACGACAAGTGTTTCAGGACCTAGCTTAAGACTACTAGCTAAACTCCTTACCCTGTTCTGTCTCACCGACCAGCTTGGAGAGTTTGGCTCTGATGACTGGAGTAGCTGCCATGGAAAGGAACAGAATTCCATAACCTGTAAGAAAAATACAGCATATTAGGGAAAGCTCTATCTGATAAAGTTGTATCGACTTAAAATAAAATCTCCAAAGTCGGTCCCAGAAACCTGAAGCTCTGGGCGTTTTCTCCCTGCTACCTTCCAGTTCCATTCACCTTCCTGCATTTCACCATGCACTTTCATCTGTGCCTGCAGTGCAATACAGCTACCTGGAAACCTGTTATTCTAGGGACTAAATGGTTGCAGTTTCAATTTCAGTGTTTGGCCAGCCTTGTTGTTAGCAAGTCGTTGTTTTGTTGGTACATTGGCTGAAATGGAGGCAGCAGTTCCTACAGCAGCTTGAACTCCCAGAAGCACACTGTGCTCCTGCATCTACTGGTATCTCTAAGAAAAGACCCCAAGATACACGGATTAAGAATCTGGCATCACCTGTAAACATCAGCGGTGTTGTAGTAGCAAGGGAGATCACAACCAGTCCAGAAATATTGGAAATCAATCCTATCTCTGCCACCCAGGTGTCTTCAAGGAACAGCTGCAGCAGCCGCAGCCCTCCCAGGCTGCTCAGGAAAGCCAGGTAACTGGCAGCTGAGCCGTACCCGATGAGATCAGAGGCCCAGCAGAGAGGGGCGCCAAGTTCGTACAAAACAAAGAGGTCCTTGGTTCCAAAATGGACAGTGACAAGAAGAAAGAAAGCCAGGGAGTAGAGGGCGAGCTTCCTCCTGGAGCTGCGGTGCTCCGGGGCCGTATACAGCCTGTAGACAGCCTTGTAGTGGCTGAGCGTCAGCAGCTTGGCCGGCTTCTGCTGCTTCACCGACTCCTGGAGACAGAAAGCAGCATAGAGAGCGGCAGCGAGGCTGGTGGCGAGCACGAGCCAGAAGGGATTGATGTAGCCCTGTGCTTTGCGCCACTGGCCGCCGCCGATGCTGGCCAGCATGCCTGCGACACCGAGGCAAGCCTCGAGGATGGCGACACGAAACGTGCGCGCGCGTCGGTCGCTGGTGTCGGCCACGTAGGCGAAGCAGCTGGCCAGGATCAGGTTGTAGTCGCCCAGGAGGCCGCTGAGGAGGCGTCCGAGGAGAAAGTAGGCGACGTGCAGCTGCAGGTACATGACCAGGAGGTAGATGGCCGCTTGCACGGCCATGCCCACCGCCGGCAGGACGAGCGCCGGCCGCCGACCCACACTGTCGCTCCATGGCCCGAAGAGCGTCACGGAGAAGAGCCCCACGAAGAAGCCGCCGAGGTTGATGTAGAGATTCCAGCGGGAAACCAACGCTTCCACCTCCTGCAACACAAACACAACCCCTGAGGGCCCGGGCTCGGTGGGAAGCACCGGTAGCACCCTCAAGCCCTCGGCGGGGCTCCCACCTGCCGCAGCGGGTCGGGGCTGCCACTGTCGTTGCCGCAGCCCGCGGGGCTGCTGCCGTTGGGGCCGCTGTAGCCGTGCTCGGCTCCCAGGCGGTCCCACAGGTACTGGGTGGCCAGCGGGACCTGCAGGCCGAGGGACAGCGTGGCGAGGAACAGCAGCGGCTCGACGGAGGGGCGGCAGCGCCGCGCGGGCGGCGAAGGTGGCGGCTGCGGGGCGGCCATGACGGGAGCCTGAGGCGGAGCGGCCATGGCGGCGGCGGGCGGAGCAGCGGCACCGTCCGGCCCCGGTGCTGCTCCTGGCCCCGATCCCGGCCCCATTCCCGGTCCCTGTCCCGTTCCCGGCCCCCGCTCCGGTCCCAGTCCCGGTCCCCGTCCCGGCTCCGCCCCGCGGCCGCCCACAGCCCCGGGGCCGGCCCCGTGAGGGGCTCCGGGCTCGGTGAGGCCCAGCACGGGCTGCGGGGCTCGGGGCTGTGTCCCCCCCTCAGCAGGCAGCTCTCCAGCCCGCTTGGGTGACCGAATGATAAATAAAGGCATTTCAACGTAAAGCCCGGTTTTGTTCCTATGCACGGCTAGCAGTGCATAATCGATCGTACTAGCATGCAGCACATTAAAAAAATACTTATTTTCCTAAAGGACAAAATGCCTTATGAAGTGTAATACACAAGAGGCTTTGGCAGTGCTGTTAGGTTTGTCAGGGGTTTGGTCTGCCTCACAGAGCAGAGCTGTAAGCAGAGGCTAAGTCGTTTGTTAAATCCCAAAACAACAATACAGAGAATTGGATTAACCACTTTACACAAACTGGAGTGGTTCCAAATTAATGTAAACTGGCATCACTCCTTCCACACCACACCACTGTTAACGGCTACAGGAGAAGCTCCAAGAACTTCCCCTGAAGCCAAACCCTTCGTTTTGCAGTAACAGACTTAGTGAGCGCAGTATAGCATCTTTGGAAGTAACAGGACATAACCGGCAGCAGAAACAAAAGGCACAATGTGTTAGCTGAGGTCCTTTTGCAGAGCTGCATCCCTCCCACGGACAGCACTGCAGCTGGAGGCCAGCCTTCATGCTAGAGATTTAAAAATGAGAGGTTTCCTTTCTGACATTGATTGCAACCTTAGGACATCACAGAAAGCAGAAAAAATTATTTTGCCATTGGCTGATTTTGTCACTGCACCTTTTCAAATACTAATTCAACATTAAGTGGATGCAAAAATGTGGGCAATATAATTAATTTGAAAGCTTTTTCTCGTCCTTTTTGTACCAAGGGTGAAATGCTAAAGCTCAGGATCCGCAGTTATTTAACCTGATGCTGTTTCTTGTGAGCAATGTGCCTGAATCAAGCTGCCAAGAAATCCGTGAGTTTGCAGCTCTGGGAACTGAAACTCCACTTGTTTTTCAGTCATAAGCACATTAACGAAAAGAGACTAACCCCAGCAGAAAAGGATGAGAGAGAGGAATAGCAGAAGCTCTTTGGGGGGCTGACATCAGATGACCTAATGTCTTTGCTTCTCCCCTCTCTCTGCTTGACTAAGCTATAAAACAGAGCTGTGACAATTAATACCAACAAAATGGAAACATTATCATCGTTATCTGAAGCATACACTCGCATGATCCACCAAATAAAGACATTGAAGTGTCCCTACCAGAATGCTCCCTTTGGAATTAAAAACTTCAACTCAGTTCCTGTATATTTACAGAATCAAATAATTCACTGCTTGTACTGGAAGTTTCTTGCAACGGGTGTAAAAATTGCCAGTAATTTCCCAGCAACCCATTTAAAAAATAAAATTAAAAAAAAATTACCCTTCAAGCTACTAAAGCTGCACCTAAAAAAATGCCAGATAAGAGATAAGAAAAGTGGAAAAAAATATAGCCTGGTATTTACAAATTTTTGCATTGTAGCCAAACCTTTCCCAAATCCGTTCAGATACAACAGGCTATGCCAGAAGACATTAGTTTCCCTCTTGGCCCTAAGCATTTCTTGTAACTTGCTGGGCTGTCATGTGGCAGGAGCTGAGTTCTGACCAGACCTTAACGTTTCCTCTGTTACTCTTTAAACAGGATAGAAGAAAACTGTCATGAGCCTGGTCCTCAGCCTGCACAGCCACAGCAAACCCTGCTCACACCCGGTAAGGGCTGCAAGTCCCTTTCTGCAAGGGGACTTGATCTGGTGACAGGAGCTCTGCTCTGGTGGATTTTGCTGCCCAAAGAATTTCTCAGTGGATACAGCAAAGTTTGCAAGGCATTTTGTGTAGCTGTTTCTAATCTCCATATCTGAGGGTTACACATGCTGTGCTTTCCAATATTCTACAATATTTTAAAAACATTTTTAACCTATTGTAGAGGGAATGGTTTATCTTTTTATGGAAGATATCTATTCCAAGATGACATTATGGAAGAGCAAAACTTTCATATTCTTTAACATTTCTGCTTTTTTTAAATGACATGGGCCACAAGGAGTTAATTCTCTCCTGGATTTACCGGTTATCAGAAAGGTTGTCTTAAGAAAGTTCCCGATCCGACACTCTTTTGCTCTCCCCTCCCTTCTTTGTTCTCTTCCTTCTTTCTCTGATTACAGTTCCAAAAACAACACCCAGCTGCCAGAGGTCAATGTTTAATATTCCCCAGGGCTTATATAGTCCCCAGGAGCAGAGCTCAGGCCTTTCAGCACTGGGCCAGCTCCAGCACCATGGCTGGCTTCTGGCAGATGACCCTAGCCTGCTGGAAATACCTGATCATAGTACTAGTGCCCCTTTTGTTTCTGCCTCTGCCTCTGGCTATTGATACCAAGGTAAGAACCTTTTAAATTGAATTTGAGAGTCAAATCTCTCCTTAGAGCTGTTCCTTTTAAGTGACAGAGCTGAAGAGAACATGCAGATTCTTTCTCAGAGGCATTTCCTTCATTTATAGCATGAAGAGCTTCTTGCTCTGAGCAGACCCCATAGACTACTGGCAATGGGGGATATAATAGCAATAGGATCTCGATGGATGAGCAGATGCATCTGTGACTGGATATTCTAGAGCATGCACAGTGTCATGACCTTTTAACTTTTGCTTCCCACCTGACTTTTCAAAGCGCTTTCTATGCTGAAGCTCATAACCATGAATCTAATTTACCTCCTAAGGCTCAATCCTAATCCCCCTTCTGATTTTCTAAAAGTATCCAGTCCACATCCTCTTTTAATTATTTTTCTCTCTCTCATTTTCTCAACCATGTCGTTGCCAGATAGAAAAGACATTTTCCTCAGTCAAATGGACAAGGCAACCTGATACATAATGAAATAATGAGATGTACTTCACTTTTCTTTAAGCATTATTTCTGTAATAACCTTTCCATGCAATGATTTAAAATATAAAATGTCAAGTTTTGGAAGACACATCACTCAAGATTCCTTCAGAAGAAGTTAACTGTAAAAACCTGTAGTAGTAGGGCAGGTATTTCTGAACCATTGATCATTGAAATACAATACCGAGAGCGGGCAGAGTGCCAGCATCCAGATTATTCTTCACTCTGGCTTTTTTCTTCCACTCCCACTCGCTTCATGCAGACAGATCTAATCTCTGCTCTCCAGGTCTCTTATGCCAGCTCCAGTATCATTAAACAGCTCGTCCCGATCGCCTCTCCTGTCACATCTTTGGATGTCAAGTCCTACCTCTTTCCTCTGATCTCTGCCTGCCTCCTGATCTCTCCTCATTCCCAGTTTCTCGTCTCCTTCCCCAAGCTTCATCCTTCACTCTGTCTGCTCTTACCTGTCTTTTTGTGTGGCTTGTCCCAAAGCTCCTTCTTCCTCGCAGCTCTTATTCTTGGTGTTTTCAGAGACTTTCTGGAGCTATGGCTAGAGGATTGCAAGCCAGAACAACAGAGTGGCACTAGCACGAGGTGAAATGTGGTAACTGATCAGGCATGCCCTCCTATTCGCCTGCTATGCAAATAAAATAGTTTAAACTCTCACTTAAAAGCTTACTAAGAAGAAAAACAAAAACAAAAAGCTTTTTTTTTTTTTTTCTACTTAACTTTGCATAGGCAAAGGTGTTACTGAAGTTAAGAGAGATGTGGCTCGTATATCTTCTAAAGAAGCCGGAAATAGAGTTGTTTTTCCCGAGGCCACTACTTCATACTTATTTGCTAGAGTCATTGTTATCATACAGTAAGTCGTCGGTATTGTCAGTCAGTGGAATGACTCGTCAGTCTTGGTTCAGTTCCTATTTGAAAATGGCTCTCTGATTTCTGTGTTGGCAGCTACAACACAAAGGTTTAAATGTTCTGGACACACTTTTGCCTTTGTAAACTGTAAGATTTCCGGTGTTAGAAAAAGAAAAGCTGGTACGTCAGCATGCAGAGCCATAAATAGATCATTTATCTGATGGAATTTTATTTTTTTCTGTTCTGTTGAGCTGTTAACCTGTCCTATAGTGACACAGCACTGGACACTAAACTATTATAAATGACGGGACAATGCAAAGGATTCTAATCTAAAGACAGAGGAATGAGAAAGCAGTTTTCCTTATAGGACGGGCCACTGGCTTTGTGAATAGCCTTATCCCAGCTTTTACTGCGAGCCTGTTCACAGCAGACTGGAAAACAGCACTGTGAACATGATACATGTTCCAAGGCCCTGCTAGAGTCTCTCAAAAGGCTCCTATTGGTGTCCCTTACTAACAAAAAAAGAGAGAGAGAAAAAAAAATAAGAAAAAAAGAAAAAAAGAAAAAAAGAAAAAAGAAAGGATCATCAAAATGGGAAGGTTCCTACTACCATGCTGCTCTGGTAATTTGCTACCTAAATACCCAATCTTCTTCCCTCCAGACTGCTCAGCTCGCCTGTTCATCCTTTTCCTTCACCAGCTCTTTAGCTTCCAGGCCACATTCAGAAGTTCTGAGCACATCCTAAAGCATCACCAGTTTGATCCTCCCTGCCAGCTCCTTGTTTTGATCCTCTGTCATCTACCCATCACATTTTCCATCAGTTTTTCTTCGCTCCTTTCTCAATAAGCATCAGTACACTTCCATTTGTTGTGTCCAGCATACTTTAAGTAGGTATCCTTGATCCTAGACCATGCAACCACTTTTTTCTTCCAAATCTTATGCTCTGATCAGTGCTGGTACCCACTATTTTGCTTATTCAAAAATTAGGAAAGCACTGTATCCTGCAGTGTTAGTTTCCCTTGCTTTTTTTCAACTGCCATGTAATATGCTGTTATGATATGTTATTTTGAATCCTTCTAATGTCTGAGACTGGGTTAAATATTTTTATATAAAATTTGGAGTGGTTATCATAAGCAAAACTAAATCAGTGTTTTCTCAGAGGGAAAAAAAAAAAAAAAAAAAAGAAAAAAAAAAGTACCATGAAACAGGGCATCGTATTTTCTCCAGAGAAATAATTCATATTCAATGGAAGCTGAAACTGATCTGTGAACAGTTCATCAGCGAGCATTTCAACGTATATAAAGCTAAAAAGGCAATAAAAAATAGATAAAAATATTTACAGTTCAAGGAATCCAGGCTGCTGAAGGTAACATCTGGACATGTCCTGAGACACGCAGAGAAAAAATGTAGAGAAACCTTGACCAGATCAAACTCAAAGACAGGAATAAATAAGAAGAAAATACTAGCACCAGTAAAATCAAGAAATCTGTGCGGGGACTGCCAGTCCCTTATCAGAAAGGGTTCAAAGTCATCAATTTGTTTCTTTTCCTAAGTTTCTTGTCTTTCCCCATTGAAGGCCCCACCCAGTCTTTTCCTAACAGCTCTGACAAGGTTGTTGAATAGTTTGTCATTTGATTAGGATCTGCACAGGTAGGGGGACAGATGGGAGAGCAAGACAGAAAATAACCTTTTCCCAAATCCCTTTATCAGGCAATGAATATAATTACGGGCTGTTGCTTTCTCAAAGGCTAAGCAAGACGTACAGTCTGTTCTGATTGCGTGTACTCTCCTTCTATCAGGAGGCGCGATGTGGTTACGTTATCATCCTGATGGCACTGCTTTGGTGCACAGAAGCCTTGCCGTTGGCTGTCACAGCACTCTTTCCCGTCCTGCTCTTCCCACTCATGAATATCATGGATTCAACAGCAGTAAGAGATACGGGTCTTGCTTGTTTATGTGTTTGTCGGTCATCTCTTATTTTGGGGTGATTTCCAGAGTTGGGGGCAAAGGGAAGAGAAATCAATCACCCGCGACCTTCGTGGAACAGAGCTTTCATGTACCTACCGTGAACTCTGGGTGGAGTCGCTAATCTGAAATCAAAGCAAATTCATTGATCAGACACAATCCATAGTTAGTGTTTTAATGTCTATAGGACAAGGTTCTCCCTCGGAAAACACCTTCCCTCTAAACATTGGCTTCTTATCACTTTTTTTTTCCTCTCCCTTGCTCCATGTTGTTGCAGGTCTGCATGGAGTATTTGAAGGACACCAATATGCTTTTTATTGGGGGACTGCTGATGGCCATTGCTATTGAGAAGTGGCACCTACACAAGCGCATCGCTCTGCGGGTCTTGCTAATCACTGGTGTCAAACCAGCCCTGTGAGTAACAGTCCTGAAAACGAGGTGGGATAAAGGACTTTGTGGCTTTAGTTCCTATCAGAGTTCTGCCTGAAGCCTCCTATGTGAAGCTGCAAATCATATCCTAAAAATGCTTTTCTACAGTCCATGAGAGTTGGATTGTGCATGAGAAAACCCTGCAAATGGGGATCCATTGAAGTGTTACAGACCTGTGCCTCTGTTTTGAATTCCAAATGGCATTAGGTGGAGAAATAGCAATTCTGAAAAGTCAGGGGTGCTACTGGGCTTGGGCAGAAGCACAGCCCTGGACAAGCAGGAGAAGCTATAGCTGAGATGTAGAAAACATATACTCTATAAATGTTATACTGATTGCACAGAGGAGAGAAAATACGAGGATGCTTGTTTTGGAAACAACAAATGTTTGCCAGACTAGAGCTTTAAGCTATGCAGAGGCTACATTGCCTTATTTAATTTGTCCCAGACCATAAGAAGAGGAAATACAGAAGGAAATTACAAAGCAATAGAACAAAAATGCAGACAAGATAAAGCCCTTTTCATCTGATATATAATCTACATCTCATCTAAAGAATAATTTTGAGACAAATAACAGAGTAATACTGAAACAAGGATTAGAATTTTACATGAGTAAGAAGAGACTTTTAAATGATAGAGGTAGAATAAATCTACCCCCCAAAAGAGAGAGATCATTTTCCTTTGGATTTAAACTGATTGCCACTTGGGATCAAACTTGGTTTGCAATTCCTCTTCAAAATATATTATAATAGATTAATACGTGTTATTGAGATGGGATATCTTCCTCTGAAGCATGCAAACTAAGCAGGATACCGGCCAGATAAACTGATGTCAGCTCCTGCTTTCCTAGTTATACAAATGCAGAAGTACAATTGGTGAAAATGTAAACAAATAAATAATTAAATAAATGAGAAAAAAAAAAATCTTCACTGTATCATTCGCAAAGCAGACTAAGCTAAGAGGAGGTGCTAGATGTGAATTGCTAAGCATTTTCCAAACCTAGCATTTGTAACCAGCACTTTGCAACAGAAAAGGGCACCAAAACCCTGAGTTTTGAATTGGCTTTTTCACACCTTTTCATTTCAGGCTTCTCATGGGTTTCATGGTTGTGACTGCCTTCCTGTCCATGTGGATCAGCAACACAGCCACCACTGCCATGATGGTGCCGATAGCACAGGCAGTGTTGGATCAGTTGCATAAGTCAGAAATGGAGTTTAAAAGAGCTGGCCAGGAGTCTGAGAACATCAATAAAGCCTTTGAACTGCAAGAAGAGCCAACTAAATCAAATAAAGAAGAGCCAACTAAACCAAATAACTTCACAGAAACAGACCAAAAAGGTGAATGGGTTATGGGCATTTTTCTCTTCAGGGTGATGAAGGATGGCCTCCATCTTCCTCAATGGCATAACAGTTGCTATTAAATTCTAAAAGAACGTACCTAAAGCACCCTGACCGTATCATACAGCATTTGTGAGGCTCTTCTACGAATCAGATGAAAAAACAGTAAGATCTACTGACTTGATTGAAGTTAGAAATAAATTACAAACATAAAGAAATAACAACTAATCAATAAAACAACAAATAAATTCTCCATTAGCTGAAGATTTTGCATGAGGTTTGATATTTTCCTGTATGTTTATGTTAGCTGAATTATAATCTACTGTGTAATTTACCAGATAATGGGGAATTCGTGAGGGTAAACTTCTGGCCTATTTCATGCCTGAAGGTTAGAAATTAAAATGATCTTTCTAATCATATATGTGTATATAATCATGCAACAATCTCTCACCCTCTTCCCATCTTTGAGTTAGCTCTAGTGATTCTGCACGTAAACCTCAGTGCAGAACAAGTTACCTTCAGTCCATCTCTCGTGGCTCTGTTGTACCTCCTTGAACTCTTTTCTCTCCCCACTGTGTGCAGTTCAAAGTTCTCATTCCCTGAGAAGTGTCAGCAGTGTATTCAGACTTCATCACTGAAAAACTGTTATTTTCACTGACAACCAGTGAAAAATTGGCCAGCATGTCAAAGAGTTAACAATGCCAGCCTCTTAATACAAGGCTTATATTATTTGAGGCTCATATTAAGAGGCTGGCATTGTTAACTCTTTGATATATGATATCAAAGTTTTTGATATACCTCCTAATTTATGGCTTTAATATACCTCTTAATACGTGACTCCTTCAGCTTTGAGTCCATCACATCCCAGCTTTCAAGGGCTGAATTTCACAGACATGAGATGTTGTCCTATCCAACCTAGCTCCTGTAACTCTTTTCTTCCTGTTTTGGGACCTAGGTGATAGCAATGTTCTGACGATCGAGGAAGACACACAGAGCAACGAAAATCTTCAAGACGAGAAGCACATGAAACTCTCCAAGGGACTCTCTCTCTCTATTTGTTACGCAGCCAGCATTGGAGGGATTGCAACTCTGACTGGGACAACACCAAATCTGGTACTGAAAGGACAAGTTGATGAGTAAGTCTGGTTCAATTTGGGACTACATACCCACTAAGCTGCATCTTTCTGCCACAGCTGACTTCTAGCCAATACAGAGAAGGGAAATATCTATTTCGTAACTTTGCAAGGTCGTTAGCTTACTTTCCTTAGGGAGCCTCAAAGCACCTTCTTTTTATCTGAATCATTAATTAAATACAGAAGAGACTCCAGGGTTTTGAATGCTGACAGCCTTCTACATTTTGCAGGACCTTTCCTGACAACGGTAACATCATCAACTTTGCCTCTTGGTTCTCTTTTGCTTTTCCCACCTCCGTCGTGTTGCTGATTTTGGCTTGGATTTGGCTGCAAATATTGTACATGGGCTTTGAGTAAGTACACTTTACATACTATAGCCTAGCTGACAGGTCTATTATTAAGTACTCATTACACATCGTACCATCAGTGATTCTTTTAATGATGAGCCTATGTTTGAAATTTAGCAGTCACAGCCAACAGAGACTACCACAACAGGTTACTAAGTGTTTGTTAAAATACTGCAACTTTTTCTCAAAAAAAAAAAAAAAAAAAAAAAAAAAGATAAAATCCCTGTTAAATACACACTGTAGATGGAAAAATGGAGCTATAACTGCATGCAACCTGTTCTGCAGCATTGCTTCATGCCCTAAAAGAATGCTATGCTTCAAACCAGGAAATTGATTTCTGCATACAGCTGGTATTTACCTTTGTGACAAGAGCTGCTGTAGACCCAGAGGATTAATATTATGTCAGTTCCCAATGCTAATCACCCCCTGCAACCAGTTTGCATTGCCCACATATTTTTACTTAGACTTTCACTTTTGTATTATCTTCAACCTCTTATTTTATTTGGAAAGAGCTTTGTTAACGCCTGAAATTGTATTTTATTCTTCAAATTCTTATTTTTAAATTCTCCTTTACTGTAATTTTAAAAAAAGCTTGGCAACTGTTTACATCCTGATGATCATATAACATCAATTGCATTAATATTGTCGTTATTTCCCTGTGTGTCCAGATAGCACCACGTTTGTATTTACATCATGAGCTTTTAGGGGCAGGACGGTTCTTTTTGAATCTTGGCAGCACACAATACAATGCAGTTACTATCTACAGCTATGGCTGCTGATGTTGCAATACTTTATATAAAGATAAATACATACCTAAATACATGCATAAATACATATGTAATACAATATGGTTGAGTTACAAAATTTGGATTCTTGACTCTTAAGCTATCTACAAAATTTCTTTAATATTTTCTATCCACTTTTTATAGTTTTCAGAAGAATTTTGGTTGCGATAGAAGTCCTTCTGCAAAGGCTAAGGAGAAACAGGCCTTTATGATTATCAAGGAAGAGCACAAGAAACTGGGCTCGATGAAGTTTGCAGAGATAGCAGTTTCGGTCCTCTTCATACTGCTGGTACTGCTCTGGTTTACCAGAGAGCCTGGGTTCATACCAGGTTGGGCAACTGTTCTCTTCAACAAAAATGACACAAGGTATCACCACTTTTCCTCCTCACTTTAAAAAAAAATAAATCAGGCAACAATAGAATTATGAAGCATAGCCTAATTTCTCGCTTCCTAAATGATATTTCATGCAGATTCCCTGCTGGGGTTATCCCTGCCTAGTCTGTGAATTAATCTCATGCTAGCATCACAAGTTTAGAAGTAAAATTCTCATTCGTGGCATTATCCAATTTGTTCAGTTCCTCATGCACCTAAAACACTACTAATTTTCTCACTGAAAATTAGTCAAAAATAAATTAAAATAAATAAATAAAAATAAATAAAAATAAATTAATTAAAATAAATAAATTAATAAAAATTCTCACTGAAATTTCTTTTGTAGCTTTGTTACTGATGCTACAGTTGCCATCTTCATTTCAATTTTGTTGTTCATCATCCCTTCTGAATTTGATACCAGCACTAAAGACAGACAACAAGCAGGTAAGCTCACTAAAGGCATCAAAAATCAACTCTCAGAATAGGTAGACCAGAAGTTTTACGTTTAACATTCACAAAGGAAACTGTTCTTGCTCCATAAGTACTGTTATATGCTTTAGCCTACTCAAGGCTTCTATTCCATAAAACTTCTCTATTTCTTATAATTTTAATTTCATAAAAGTTCTCTATTTCTTATGATTTAATTAAGTATAAAACGTAACCCAGCAGTGTTCCAGACACCAGTATGCACATATCTGAAAGCTTCTGAAACAGAAGGCTTTAGCAGAGAATACGTGACTTAACAGAAACACAGTTCTGTGGATATGTTGCCATACTTCTAACCCACTCTTACCTTTCATCTACTTTGCTATGCTTCTTGGAGCAACTACAGATTATTCATTAGTATTTTTGCAAGTCAATTTTTAAAATCTGTGTTGATGAGCCTCCCATCATTAGCTTTAGGTGATAATTCCAGAGTCTAGTTTATCTTGCTGACAGAAAAGTTTCCTCATGTTCAGATTAAACTCACCTCTTGCTCTGACAAGTACTCCTTTCTTTGGAGATTATTATATGGCTTACAAAACCTTTCTGAATTTTAGGCAGGAAGCCAAAGGTCCTAGCACCTCCAGCTCTCTTGGACTGGACATCAGTTCACCAGAAAATGCCGTGGAACATTGTATTGCTGCTGGGAGGTGGTTTTGCCTTAGCCAAAGGCAGCGAGGTAATATTCCTCTGCTTACCTGGTGTTTGTCTTAATGGGTATTTTCTGTCTTACCTTTCACGTATGCTCTCCTGGAACACAAGAGGGCATGCTGGTAGCACCAATGTGCATTTCCTCAGCTAGTGGCAGTAAGAGACTTCACCATCCTCGGGAGGAGTCCTGTGATAATAACAGATCTGTTTTGTTACCTGTGCAACCAGCGTGGTACAGGAAAGTAGCACAGTTAACTGTCTTTCGAGAAAAGTGGATGATTAAGAAAATACCCCAATACATCAAAGACTATTAAACAAAACTTAATAGATGTGGCAGGCATGAGGAGCTAAGGTGCCCAGGATGGATCTCCAAATTTTTTCAAACATCCAGGTATTAAATAGGGAGGACATGAAGAATATTGTTTATGTACAACCAACAGCCTCAATAGAGAAATAATTATTTGCTATCATTAATGCATTGTAAAGACAGTATCTTCTTCTTTTAAATGCTTTAGAAGGGAAAGCATGTTTATTTTTAGCAAGGCCTCTACATGTTTTCCTACAGAAAGCAGTTTACATGGGAACTTCCATAAGAAGGGAGGGTAGAATTGGTAAGAGAAATGCAATTGGCCTGCAATGTGAGTATTTCTTCCCCAGCCTACAAGCTTGACAGGCATCTTTCCTCTCTTACAGGAATCTGGTCTGTCTAAATGGTTAGGCTCAAAATTGACTCCTCTGGAGGAAATCCCTCATCCAGCCATTGCTCTCCTGCTGTGTCTCCTTGTTGCTACTTTCACTGAGTGCACCAGCAACGTGGCCACTACTACCCTCTTTCTCCCTATTCTGGCTGCAATGGTAAGTTCCAGTGTTTCAAAATACTCTTATAAGAACAGCTTTCATCCCTGCTCCGAGCAGATGTATGCTCAATGATAACAAATAAATAAATAACTGGCTGACACAGCCAAGCACTGGGCATGCATCTAATCAGGAGAGAAGACTTACAACATACATACGTGTATACATGTGCGTGCATACAGAAACTCACACACTATGTGCTTCATTCAACCTTTCTTAAAACCATTGCTGGGGAAAAGCAAAGGGATTAAATTCATTGGCATATTAGACTTTGCCTTCTGGCCTAAACAACCTCATGAGGTCACTGCCAGCTGTACTTGTTGTTTTTTTTTCCCTATTTGTTCTGCATAGAGACAGCAGCAGCAGCATTTGTTTCCCTGCAACATTCCATTACTGTATTTCACTCCAACCACTACCTTTCCACAAGTCTGTGAAGGTGATAGCATTACTCAGGCTCTATGACCTAATTCAGACTTTTGCATTTCCACAGGAGACTCCTGTTTTGGGGTAGACATAGTTTTGCAGCATGAAAAGGTGGTTCCATAGAGAAACTGGAATAAGCTCCACCAAAATCTTTTTGCATAGGCCACAGACTCCAGCTAATCCCTAAAATGACACACTCATCTTCAGAGTTCGGGCTACCCATTTTCCACTGATAACTTAATTCCTTTCTTAATCAGTTTGAAGTTACTTTATACTCTTGCCTGGTCTTAGAGTTGAACACAAACATTATTATTAATTTATACCACAGCAGGGATTAAGATTCCACAATCACAAACACAAAGCACTGGCCACGAAAACAATTCTTATTTTTGCTGCACAAAGACACAAAATAAAAGTTCCTAAAACAGAACCAAAATACGAGTTCCTACAGCATATGTGGAAGAAAAAGATTTCTGACATGGACAAATGCAATCAGTATTCTGACAAAAGATTTCTGTGCACTTTTGTATATCATAAACCATCATCCGTGCTCTCCTTTCTTGCATAGGCTGAAAATATCTGCCTCAATCCACTCTATGTCATGCTGCCCTGTACACTTTCCGCATCATTGGCGTTCATGCTGCCAGTGGCCACTCCCCCTAATGCCATCGTCTTCTCCTATGGACATCTCAAGGTTATAGATATGGTGAGCAAAAGCACATTCTTTTCATAACTTTCATCAGTAGTTTTGATCTTTCCATTTCCTATTATTTGTTCTTCTTGAAAGAGTGTTGGAAAACTCACTGTACTCTACTGAAGATAAATGGAAAAAACAACATACATGTATGAATTGTTAGAGTCGCTCTTGCTAATCTATATTTAGAGCCTTACGAAGATGCTACTGAGTTTTTAAAAAACAACCAAGGTCTCTGGAAGACGTTCCAACAGGAGCTTGCTGTCAATCAGAAATGGCAACACCTAACTGTTTCAAAAGCCCAAATGTAGATCATAGGGATGACAAAGAGACCTGTACAATCCTTCTGCAGGGACTAGGGCAAAGCCTAACACATTTCACTAGGCTGCCCTGACGTCCATTCTCAACATAGACAAGGATGTCAAGTCTCTTGATAACTTTTCCAATTCAAAACTGATTCAAGGTAGTATTAGATACCAATACCATTCAAACAATCCTAATCAGCACGGAAGGAAAAAATATTAAATTCAACAAATAACCCCTCTCCTTTATCATTATAGGCCAAAGCTGGATTTGTACTCAACCTCCTGGGAGTCCTGACGATAGCTCTAGCCCTCAACACCTGGTCTTCATCCTTGTTCAACCTGCACATCTTCCCTTCCTGGGCAAATAAGACAGGCTTATGCTGGGCAAATGGGACACGCATATGCTGGGTAAATGGGACAGACATATGCTAATAATACAGAGACAAGTGAAACACTACTGTATCTGGTAGGACTGCAGTGTGAGCAAGACACAAGTTTTGCTGAGGCAGCCGTTGAGAGACGGGCCTACTCTGTGGAAAAGGACACGCTACCTACAAACAAAATCATTCAGTTGATAGCAGCAATAGAATTGCCTAACAGGGCTGTTCTAGCAGGCAATTTTGTTACCCCAGCAGTAAGACAAGCCAGTAACCTCTGGCTTTTCAACAGTTCCAGGTATCTTTAGATTTTCTGTTTGCACAGGGGTAAATTTTCCCCAACTACATCATTTCTTAAGCTCTGTATGTAATGTCCGAAATCTGCAGTGAGTGAGAAAGAAGAGAGGTGTGTATGGAGAAGGAAGAAAGGAGACTGTGTGTACCTGATTTCATGCCTGTATCTGTGTATCACCACAGCACATATGAATATTCACCTCTGTCTGAGCATACAGGCCTCTGTGTTCAGCATGTACATAAGATTGTTGTGTACTCCGTGGGCACTCAGCACGGTATGTGTTGCATGATTAGGGACAAATCACATACTGTCAGCCTATTTTATCACTTTGAAACGTATTTATTTACAGCCCACTCTGTTATGAATGTAAAAGACTTTTTTTCCTAGAACATCCGTCCCATTGTTATTTATGAAAGATTAAAGTCTACAAGGTCATGGCAGGAATAGCAATATTCTCTTGTGAAGGGTAGAAGCCTTGTGCCCTATATTGTGTATATGATTGAATTAAAGATTTTTTTTTTATGTACCCCTTGTGTTATGGAGATTTTTTCTATTACATATGTCACTGTAAATACACTTCTGTCTCTTCCATCTGTCAACTGTGAGCTTCTTTAAATATCTTGGCATAGTTAAGTTAGCATGACTGATTTTATCTTATCATTAAAGTAATAATTAATACAAGAGTCTAATTTTCTTGGACTCTCAATACCAAGATATTCCTTTTCAAACCCCAATATAGTTAAATGTTTAATCCTTATTCTGCAGGAACCAATTTTCAGCAGCACATAGACCTCTTAATGACCAAACTGTTCAAGATACTGGACTTTTTGGATGTCTATTAGCATATACATTTTCAAAGACAATTTGCCATATCAAGCACTCAATACCAAAAGTTGAGGTTGGATTCTGACCGATCATTTAGACTATAAACACCACTTAACTTTGTTTTAAATGACTCGTTCTGTTATAGCCTGCAAAAGTTTTCCAAAGTCTCTTGCATTTCTGAAATGCCTTTTGAATCATACCGGTTCACTGAGAGTGAATGCGAATGACTTTCACTCTACAATAGCACACAAGCTCTTCAGAATCTTTATTCTTTCTTTTACTATGCTAGTTACGGGGAGACTAGGACAACGTGCATTGCACTTTTCATCTGTAAAATGTTAGAATGCACTGACCTGCAGAATTTTCTTTCCAACTGCCAAGACAGTTCTGATACCTGCTGATCAGTGGTTCCCTTTGTATTGAGTTTCCTTGGCCTGACAAGCACAGTTGCTGTGGAAGAATCTCAGAAAGGAGAGTCTGGTGTTAACCCATCATTGTCTCTGAAAGACAGAATCTGTGTTTTGCTTTGATATATGATAGGAACCCAATAAGATATCCATAGCAAGAGAAGGAAGGATATTTATGTTCTTTCACTAATGAACTCCTGAGTAATTGATCTCATTTACACAATGACTTGCTCAGGTCACTGATAATCCATTCACCTTCTTCCCCTTTGCATTTATGGCTATCAATATCCAAATCTGCCCAAATACTTTCATTACCCTGATCACGATGTGTGAGTGCTTAACAAAATGACAAACTCGAGCAGACAGCTTGCTGCAAACCTCTCCCTTCCTTGCTCTTTGTCTGCAACATCAGGGCAGTGTGCAGAGCTTTTGTTTGCTTTTTGTTTTCTTTGAAATACTTGCACATAGTTTACATGTCCTTCTAAATTACTGCTTAGCTAAGCAAGAAATGCTGAATTCTTATAACATTTCCCATCAGCCTCTCCTCCCAGCCGTTTAAAACGGCTGTGTTATGATTCTTTGAAGTCTTTCCTATGAGTCTACATTATTCAGAGGCTGTGGTGTGCATAAGTACATGCAGGAGCACAGGTGCAATCTTTATGGCAATCTCGAGAAGAAAGAAGAAAGACATGAAGTAGAACCAAGTGTCATGGGGCCAATGCAGTAATTCTGGGTGTTGCATGTTCATTAGCATGTATGAGCTAGAGACATACCAAAAAAAGGCTGCAGCAAATATACTCAAGGGGTTTCCAAATGCCCGGTTTTCAGAAGAAGCCAGGTGAAAGGATGTAACCTGTAGACAGAGAGGAGAAACTAACAATAATACCAGGACATAAAGAGAACGGACAATTTCATTAATGGTTTCCACCTTGAAGTGATGGCAGCAGCAAGTGCACTCTGGGCATTTTATTGCCTTGGGTGTGTCTGAGCACAGGACAAGTTGAGGTACAGCTAAATATAGTGTGCTTGTGCAAAAACCAGTAGCACTATTAAAAATGTTCATAATTTTCTAAGCAAAGCAGGTAGAAAGTGTTTCTAAGCCCCATTATTACACAGATCACCTTTGAAGGGTGGTTCCCCATTATGTTTCCAGATATTGCCCTCAAGGAGTGGCTCTATTTCCCATTGTGTGATCAAATTTCACAATCTTCTGTGAAACTGCCAGCTCAGCACCTGCTGTAGTTAGGTGTGATTTCCAATGCAGCTCTTCGTTTTGGAGCTGACACTAAGTTTGTTTTACATAAGAGTTGTAAGTGATAAATTTGTTAATGAGAAGGGGACGTCTGCCTCCTTGCCTGCCTTGTCTAAAAAGCAAGTGCACTACAAAACCACAAAATATAGGTTTCCCACAGCATATGCCGGTGAGTAAGTGGGTGACTCGCAGTCACCTCCTCCATTTTCCCTGGAGTTATGGTGCTGTCTTGCCTTGCCTTGCCCAGACACACACACACACATGTACACAGAAGAGAATATGAAGGACTTATCCTGGTAAACATATGCATTTCTACAACACTTGACCACAACAGAAAATCAGAAGAATTTTAGGCAGGGTAATGCAACAAAGAAAATAGCTTACTTCTGAGAAAGGCACTTCAGACCATAAACATCTCAACAAATTTGTAAAGTGGCATGTAAGTGATGCAGAAGTCACTTAATCAAGCTCTGAAATCATAAACAAACTTAAAAGAACAGATGACAATTTTAAAGCCAAAATAGGATTAAGCCAGCATGCCTTTTATCCTGGTGTTGGCTTGTAGAGACCAAATATTTGTTCCCAGTCACTTAAAAGCTATTAAAATGAATTTAAAGAAACCCTTGTTCTATAGCATTGAAATCTTGAAATATATCTAGATCTTTTTTTTTTTCTTGATTAAAAATGCTTTGAAGGAAGCCTGATGATATTACAGTGACAAAAAAAAAATCTTGAAAAGATTAAAAAATCTATTTTCAGAAAACAAAATACAAGCCAATAGGACTAGAATACAGCTTAATGAAAACAGAACTGTCTGGAGAATACAAGACAGGCCTAAGTGATATATTCTAAAATTATATTAAAACATACACTAAAATTCTCAGTGACTTGGGTGGAGTGAATGGAGACCTACAACAAAGATGGAACTGAGAATCCAAAACAACAAAGAAAGAGGAGAAGATTACTGTCCAATACCACTGCAGACTGAAAAATGAAGGTCCTGTGTATTATCCAATAGACATCAGCATATATGTAAACACAGACCTTTCCCCAGGAGCTGTAAGAGCAGTTCCACTCTCATCCCTGGAGGTAATTCCTCACTCAGATAGCTCTGGCATGTTGGCAGCAGTGTGCAGATGAGTGCAAAATTCCATCTCTCTGAATTTAGCATACTTCTTCTAGGAATACAACCCTTTGCTCTCAGTTGGCGTGTTGTTCTCAGCATTTGCAAAACAGAAATAGAGTTTAAAATTTCTTCAGTGATGAATAACCAAATAAGGAACAGAAAACATTGATAGGGTGGCTTAGGAAATATGTAAATTAAAGTCATCAAGGAATTTCACAAACCTCTCTTTTTTTTTTTTTTTCCATCATGGAACCAATAAAACTATTTACAACGTGATTCACTGAACTTTATGATTTAAGTTAGTAATGACCAAGGTGCTAAAGCCTGGAAATGAAGTGGTTTGAATGTACTAATCATGCTGTGTCCAAAATAACAACTGTTTAATAGAACTTAATCACTGTTGTAAATGCTGTGTATTTTCTCCTATTAAAGGCACATTTAGTATTATTTATCCTTTAATCATACTAACAGACCCAAAACATCAAGCTGCTACTCAGGATACAGAGTCTTTTGCAATGTGCCATCTAGTGGCTGCAAACAGCCTGCTAGGGCACGCTCAAAGGTCCAAAATCCAGGCCAAGCACTCAGTCTTGTGTTGATCTTCATCAGAAACCATCCTTAAATAGCTAGAGGGAAAGTGATAGAGCAAGAGGAACACTTTTCAAAGGCAGCGCATCACAACATAGCTGCAAAAGTAGAAGTGTATTAATTAATCCAGTTAAATTAAAAAATTAAATTCAAATTATCAAATGGAAAAAGAAAGCACCTTGAAAATAAAGAAGGAACAGAACGGTTAATTCAAGGGCTCAACCCACGTATATTGTTATGCAGGATTTAGATCAGGCCAGATGCAACTGCTTCAAGGCTCAGACACCATATGCTATGTACAGTATTTATCTTAACAGAACATTAGTAATGGCTACTGTTAGATGGGACTGTATTTTGAATATTAACATTAATTATGATCAACATTAAGACTGTATTCTGCTTCAACTTGATACTACTCAGCCAGCTTCAGAGTAGTATTAAAGTTCTCTTGCCAACTTAGCAGCGTTACAGGAATTTCCTCGTTTCCTTTGATCCAGTCTACAAGAAGCAGAGCATTTTTAAATTGCCCCAGTACCTGCTACCAGCTGCCACCTGTAAAAGCTACCCCAAAAATCACTCATATGATGCTACCAGTCTCTGGAAAGGAGCGGAAAGTCCTAGGACACCACATTTCATTAATTCCGCTGATTACAGAGCTTCTCATTTCTTTCAATCAATCAAAAGGAGAAGTGGTCAGAGTTGCCTGCAAAACCCATGTCCACATTAATGTGGGATTGCACAATGTCAGGAGGGCAGGCTGAAAGCAGAGGGGGCACACAGCCCAGTACAGTTAGCTGTTCAGGCACCAGTTCTCCTGGTTGCCTATCAAGGACATCTCAGGCAGTGAGTAGTGGTTGCTTTGGAGCAGTTTTAAGCGACCGTAAAGGGAAAGTCACATTTCCCTTTTTGCTGTAGGACTATCCTGATGAGACTTGCCAGAAAATTCAAAAGGATCCTCTTTATTTGTAAGACGTCTGTCACCTGAAGCAAGTTCGAGTTTTCCTCCTTATTCTTACCTCTGGCAATATCATTCCTGCTACATGAAACATGCAATCATAAATCATTTGTCTGCATTGTAGATAACATAGCTGTACAATGCAAGCTTCCTCACACCTGTGCTTTTTCTTTTCTCCTTAGACCTAAGCAGGTGGTGTTGTGGTATCCAGAGTTACAACTGGCACTGAAGAAATAGCCCAGCCTCAGAAGATGCCACCTATTCAATCCAAAAAACCCTTTGTAATTCCTCTAGTGTTACAGCTTTATCATCCAAGCTACAGAGAAAATAGGAACAGCACCAGAACTTGTTTGGATGACTTTTAGAGACTGGA